CAAGCAGGAGGCATTCCACAAGCTCCGTAGAGGTCAGAAGGTCCCCCATATGGCGGAACCAATGGAATGCCAGCTGATACAATGCAGGACTTTGTACTCAATGGAAGGAATATAGGTGGATGCCCCTTCTGCCATGATCCTAGGTGAGAGAAGTTGTGTCTGAGCAGGGTGAAGGTCTGTTTAACCAAAGGTGTCCGAAACCCATGTCTCAGATCGATGTCTGAAAGTCCTGGAATCATTATTAGGAAGAGGCCTACAAAAGACTCAGGGTAGCCTAGAATAGCTGATGCAAATAACTCCAGGTTAGGAGATATGGCCATAGACTGAACATCCCCACATACCAAGGCATCCAAAGGAATAGGCTATCTGTGTATGCTTGGAGGTAAGGGAGAGGTAGACCGATTGCCATTTACAAAACTAGCGTTGACCCACATAGCAAGATGACCATTAACAGGGTGGACTCAAGTCCCAGCTGCAGAGCAGGAGTAACAGAAGACAGAGTAAAATTACCCAAAGCCCGCAAACAAAGAAGGGGGCAAGGTCACTTTTGACCAGGTCACCTGAGTCATTAAACAATGGGTTTTCTGTCAGCAACAGGAAAGGTGACTCAAAGATCAACTGCTGAGTAGAAGGGGTAATAACCTGGCACGACTAGGTCAACTCAGTTCTGCATACAAACAGTATGCAAGTGAAAAAATCATACCGCCCTGAACCTCACATACCATCATACCTCAGTCCCACCTCTACTGGTACAGAAACTTAGTATGCATGGATTAATAAAGAGGTCCTTAGTTCTACCATAATAGTAGAGCAGATGAATGAAAATAGCTGGCATCTGTTTGTTTAGTAAAATTACTAGCTTATTGGACCAAGGGGCCTGACAAGTTGCTGACTGTAAAAATGTCCACAGCAAAATCATCTGTAGTTCACAAACATCCACTCAAGCATAAAGCTTTAACAGATGCAGATCAAATGAACATTGCAATGGGGCATAACACAGAGCAAGGAATGTCAGCAAGCTCATATAATGAACCCAGTGGCTTAAGCAAAAGCAGGATATCAGAGTACAGCAGCAAAACACAGACTCCATCAGCAATAATGCACAGTGGAAGAAGGCAAGTAATCTAATGTCTCTCTCAGGCAACAGGTTGTAAAATACTGCTCTTCATTACAACACTGAACCATCCTGAGAGACCGATTGTGACTAGGCCAATGTAGGCCAACACACCAAACAGCGAAGAAGTGCAGTGCAAAAACACACCAGTGTGCAGGAGGAGATGAAGGTCATTCATGGCTGATGCACCCTGGGCCAACATATAAAACAATAGCATGTAAGTAAAACCACACCCACAGGGTGCACTTACGGGCCCACTGCAAGCCAGCAGAGACAGTAGCCACTGTCACTAGGTCACCAAAAGCCAACAATAGCATGCAAGTGGGACATTACCAACAACAGATACTCATAAACTAACTGCACAACAGGCAGAGCTAAAGGCCATCTGTGATGAGTGCACCTTAGGCCACTCACAGGCCAACTGCAGAGCAGCAGTGGTCAATGCCCTGTGTGACTAGGGCCCAGTAAGTCACTGTAAAAATGGTATACAAGTGAGACAGAACTACATGGGATACTCATGACCAATGCAAAGCAGTTGGATCAATGGCCGTCTGTGATCAGATCACCACTGGACAGCAGGGGGTTAAATTGTCCATGCCTGAATATGTCATCATAGGCCACAGAACAAACAATAAACAGTAAGATGTTATCAACAGCTTTTACTCAAAGATCCACAGCCAAACAATTAGGGTGTGTGACTAGGTCACCATGGGCCATGCTACAGAAAAACACTGAAACATTACCAACAAAGGAAACACAAAAAAAAAAAACAGCAGAGCAGAAAGCTTAATAGCTGTGCATGACAAAGTTGACAAAGGTTCACTCACAAACCACTGCAGAGCAGTCAATGTCCGACCATGACACCCCCACGATCTATTAGCTGACTGAAAGTTGGTGAGGCCCCCCGCCCTGTCACCTTTGCACCTTTAAATCTGCCATGTGTGGTGCTAAAGTGTCCCCAAAGGGGTAAACACAACAGTCTTAATAGGGTGAGAAGGGTTAGCACCCTCTGTGCCAGGAATTCCTAGCAGCTGAAGCAGGTGGCATCCATGGATCACTGTGCTGATTAATTTCAGCAGAAATGCTAAGCCAGTCTCTATGCATGTCAGAAGTAAACCATAAATGGTGCACAGTAAGCTTGGGAAACCAAGACCTACACAATGCTATGGTGTCTCCTAGCTGCAGCCCAGGGAAAACATAATGGAAGTTACTGCCTTGTAAAAATGGTGGCAAGTATATAGAAACATGTGCCCGGACAAATGCACATGGTCTTCCTTAATGGGTATACTTGAAAGGGGTCTTCAGGAATAAGCCTTCAGACCACGTCCCTAGACTTGTAAAGCACCCTGTGGTTAGCTCAACAGAATGCACCCCATGCCAAGATGGGACTAAGGAAGGATCCAGTGCCCAGAGCAACATTACACGCCAGTCCTGTATCTTCTACAGGCAAGATTCAGGTATGATCCTGTAAGGCTCTGCTGAGTCAACCAATCAAAAAGCTGCAGAAAAGAGCACATAAAATAGGTAAGCTTGTGTCAGTAGAGAAATGACCATTACTTAGCAAAAAATTAAGGTTGCTGGGAGTAGGAGGAGTTACATATGGGATGTCCCTGCATTTTTCTTTTTTGCCAGTGTCCACTCACCTGAGGGTAACTACATTAAATCCATTGTTAACAACTAAAGATCCTGTGCCCTGTACTGTACAAAGTACTGTTACTTACTGTACTAAACATAATTCCATAAAAAGAAAGTCTTGTTTGACCACTCCCAAAGCTTGGGTATCATTATTAAGAATATCATTATAACCCAAAAAATAGACCAATCGCTGAAATGAAAAATGGCTCTGGAGCTTAGCTAGTTAGTAGCTCTAGTCAGGAATTTGGAAAGTTACTCCATCTGCACTGCATCAGCCCACCATGGTTAGTCTATCTGGGGCATCACAATAGAGCATTTAAATGAAACCTGCACTGAGGAGATATAGAGATTGCTATTGAAGACCTCAATTTGATTATTTCTAAGACAGCAACTCGAACAAGCATGTATATCAGAAAAGTATAGGTGAAGTCAGAGATCCTTATGTATACACATGTTCTATGTCAGTGAAACTACTGAAGCCACTGAATCAGCCTGACAGCCAGAGAGCACTAGAATTTTCAGAAAGGGAGTTTAGCAAGTGCAGCTCCTATAGATTCTCATTACAGATTTTCTTTATAACTATTAATTTCCAAGTAACTATCATCTAGTCACATGTGGTATAAATTTATGTAATAAAAACAGTGCATGAGACATCACCTTATTATAAATTTATTGAGAAAATCTTTCCAGGATAGCTAGGTGTAAACATGTGTGGTGGGTATAAGATCATAAAATGTGGCTGCCAAAAGATAATTTTATATACATGCATGCTGGTTTTTGGCATACCTGCACTGTGCACCAAATACACTTCATTCACATCATGCATTTGTACACTTGAAATTATTTATATGGTGCATACATAATTAATTTGGACATGATACATATTTATAATATTATGGTATAATAATTATAACTGAGATGACATTAATCCCAGTCTTTATCACTTGCTGTTGAAATTTTGTTGCTTTACATGTTTGTGCATTGAACATACCCTGCTAGACCTCCTCTCTCAGTCCCTCAGTCTCCCATCTTAAAAAAACAATACCCATTAAAAATTAATTTCGGATAATGAAATTTCAGATAATGAAATTGGTTGGCCAGGTAGACTCTGCAGAAGTGGCAGTGCACCCACAGACCACAATTCGATATGGTAACTATTGGAGAGATCAGGAAACAATTATCACATTTACAGGCAGTCTCATTCACTCAGCTGGGTAAATCAGTTGAACCTAATGTTGATTTAGTATAAAAGATCAAATTTAGAGTTACATAACAAAATAAAAGTAAACCATCAGTATAAAATTAGAAACGTGGTGCTTTCATGAATTTTAAGGAGCTTGATAACACCATAGTAAACATTACCAGTTTCTAACCACCAGTATAAAATTAGAATATAGTACTTTAAAGGATTTCAGGAGATTGATAGCAACATAGTAAATGTCACCAGTTTCTTCTATTGAGCGAGTCGGGTAATTAGATGATTGTTGGGTAATGCTACAACTCTTCAAATGTGTAGCATTTCTAGCTTAGTAAAGCAGATTTGACAGGACAGTGACAGTAATATTATTGTGTACAGCTATAATAGATATATTGTAAGCTCTACATCAAATACAGCGCAGTCAAAGATTTATCAATTACAGGCAGTCCCTGGGTTACAAACAAAATAGGTTCTGTAGGTTTGTTCTTAAGTTGAATTTGTATGTAAGTTGGAACAGGTACATTTTTTGAGTATAACGCCAGCCAAAAAAATAATTTTTACATTTTTTCTGGATAGCATAGGGAAGGGTTAACACCCATGTAATGTTTGTTTTGCTGTCTGTGCCCCTCTTCAGAAGATTTCATCTCACTTTCTGTCCCTGTGACAATTGGATTTTGAAAATTTTGGGTTGTAGTGGAAAAAAAGGATTGGTGATAGAGCCTCAGTTGGGACACCTTTTTCCCATGATAACTCTTGCAGGAGTGAATTTGCCTTCCTAAGGGTAGATTTACTCTCGCTTCCTGTTGTCTCCCTCCGTTTGTAAGTATGAGTTGGATGTATGTAACTCAGGGACTGCCTGTATGTTGTTTCGTTTTTTTTTATTTTACTGGTTATGGTGTGATAAAAATGAAAGCAATTATTATACTTTTCACGGAACAAAAGGACTACCACATTTCAGAAAAGCAAAAGATGATTTTAAACATATTAGAACATGGTAAATATTATTCATGTTGATTTTTTCTAATCTGGAACATGCTGATTTATTTTAAACACTCACCGTCTGGTCTGTTAGTGGTGGTAGTACAATAGTTTTCTCCATTGTGTTCATCACTAGTTTCCATAACTCCTTTAAAACGCGTTTCAAAACAGTCTTTTCACAAATTTTAGCAAACAGGGTAAGACTAAGGTGAAAGGAAGAAAATGCAAGGAAGACAGGGAATTATTTAGATTTCCATCATGATCAACACTTTGTCACAAGTCAAGTTGGCTGTAATTAATAGCTTTGTGCCTTTTTCAACCCCCCTCACTATGTAACCATGCAAAGTAGCATTTTTTTGGATTTGGTGTTTTAAAAATCAACAAAAGATCTGTTTAGTGGAGAATAAGGCTCTTGCCAGGCTGTAGCGTTACGCTACATGGGTAGGTAAGTGGAAACAGTTCCAGGTGAGACAGTAATAATAATACTTATGACAAATAGTTAAAAAAGCAACCTGTAAATTTACTAAAACTACTAAATATTATTAATCAAAAATGCACGGCCTTCATTAACATTTTCTTGGCAGTTCTATAATACCAATATGTCAGATTTCATGATTTGCTTAATTGATTTTTCATTATTTATCTAATATAAATTTCTTCTGTACTAGCATATAAAACAATCTAATATTGTTACTCTACACTTATATTTATAATAATTTTATGTGTTTTATCTTATATGCTAAGACAAAGTGAACAGTTACCAATGAAAAAACATAAGCAAACTTTGACTGGTTGGGGTTTTAGTAATAGCTGACATATCTCCTGCAATACTGCCAAATGGATCTAGGAATAGGATCTAAGAGGGTGATCAGTTAGGCAAATGGACACTTCAGTGATCTTCCATATATAGAAAACACATTTACATAGACCGCTGAGACATGTTTATAAGGGCTAATTCACACCAGCTGCTGTGGTACAATATTGTGGCTGGGGTGCAGTGCAGTCCAGGAGTATCGCTGCAGTGTCAATGCGCTGATCTATCGCACCATTCACTTTTTTAAAAATTTACTTTATTGAAATTTCACAAAGACATTTCATAAAAATCAAATAGCTGCTGTGCGGTGCAAGGCAGTTGTGTAAACTGGGCACACAGGGGAAAAGGCATTTTGCCTTATCATGCAGCAGGACTGCGCTGGAATAGCCACCCAATGCAGTGCTAACACATTTAAAACGCGTTTAAAAAAACAGTCTTTTCACAAATTTTTAGGTGTGAATGAACCCTAAAGCAGTGAATGCAACATTTACCAAACATCCTTTAATTTTTACTTGTGCATGAGATTTGAATTAAAGGGATTGATTAACCACCTGTGAATGTTTGGTGAATGTCACATTCACTGCTGTATAAATTTGACTCCAAATATTTATTGAAATTGAGCAACAATATTAATTCATATTTTTCTGTTATTCCTTACTTTATTTGCTCATAAGCATCTGTAATCATTCTTTTTAATTTGTTTTCTTACTTGCTGTCTAGAGGGTCCAGTATAGGTTGTAATACATTATCAGCATCCTGGGCCACACTGCTGCAATTACTGGCAGGCACATTTCCAGTCCCTTTAACCTGACTAAGAATCTCTCCCATTTGTTTTACACACTCCTCAATATGTGCATGGAAACTGCAAAAAAAGAAATAATAAAAAAGCAATATTGGTTACATACGAAGTTACATAGTGACGTTACACAATGAGGATATTTTATGATGTGGAATACATCTAACTGTCCAGTATATTTTCCTGATTGCATGCATACAGATTATATTTAGCATATGAACATTTTGGTATATGGAATACGCAGACTCACTACTTGCAAAATCCTGCATTTGTTGCTGCCTTTTCATTGTCGTCCTATTATCTGATTCTACCAGGATGGTAGACATCGATTTATTATCAAGGCTGACACAAACATTTTCACATAGATTATTGTGACACAGACTTCCGCTTTTAGAAAGAGCAACAGAGCAGAACTATTAATTAGCAATCATGTAACAAGCACGTTTGCCTCTATTTATGAGGATTTCTTTTTATGAGGAGGTGAGCAAAACCTTGGACAGAGGGGTGGCGGTGGACGTGGTATACTTGGATTTTGCAAAAGCGTTTGACACAGTTCCCACACACACGGCTAATGTGTAAGGTAAAGACTACAGGCCTGGAAAAATCAGTATGAAAATGGATAGAAAATTGGCTAAAAGATCGTAATCAGAGAGTAGTGGTTAATGATTCATACTCTGAATGGTTGTTAGTGGTGTTCCCCAAGGTTCAGTGTTCGGACCCTTACTTTTTAATATATTTATAAATGATATAGGGTCTGGGATTAAAAATCCCATTTCAGTCTTTGCAGGTGACACCAAGCTGTGCAGTGGAATAACGTCCTTACAGGATGTCTTCAATTTACAAGCCGACCTCAATGTACTGTTTAATTGGGCAACTATGTGGCAAATGAGGTTTAATGTTGATAAATGTATCATACATACTAGGGGGAGTACATCTGGGGGAATCAATGGTCAAGAAGGATCTGGGAGCTCTAGTAGATTATGGCATGCAATGCTAAGCTGCTGTTTCTAAAGTGAGCAAAATCCTCTCTTGTATTAAAAGAGGTATAGACTCCAGAGAGAGAGATATCATATTCCCCCTGTACAAATCATTAGTAACACCTCATCTGGCATATGCAGTTCAGTTTTGGGCACAAATTCACAAAAAGAACATTGGGGAACTGGAGAAAGTACAGAGAAGGGCAACCAAACTGATAAGAGGCATGGAGGAGATCAGTTATGAGCAAAGATTAGAGGAACTGAATTTATTCTCTCTTGAGAAAAGGAGCTTAAGGGGGGATATGATCAACATATATAAATACATCAGTGGTTCATATAGTGAACTCAGTGTAGAGTTATTCACCCTGAGGTCATCACAGAGGACAAGGAGGCACTCTCTACGTCTGGAGGAAAAGAAATTTAATCTCCAAACACGGAAAGGTTTCTTCAAAGTAAGAGCTGTGAAAATGTGGAATAGACTCCTTCAAGAGTTGATTCTAACCAGCTCAGTGGATTGCTTTAAAAATTGCCTGGATTCTTTCTTGGATACACAGAATATAACCGGATACTAACATTTATAGGTAAAGTTGATCCAGGGAATATCTGATTGCCTCTCGGGGGATCAGGAAGGAATTTTTTCCCCTGCAGCAGCAAATTGGATCGTGCTTTGCTGGTTTATTTGCCTTCCTCTAGAATAGATCAACTGTGGGTGTAGGATTATAACTTTTTTTTTTATATGGTTGAACTGTATACACTTTTGTCTTTTTTTCAGCCGGACTAACTATGTAACTATGTAACATATATGTTATTTTAAGCCATTACACATTAAGAATTTTAAAAATAAAATTATTTATAAGTTTATCTAATAAATAATTGAAAATACTTTACATTCCCCTTAAAGTGATATTAAAGCCAAACACTATAATTTTTTTCACCTTAAAGCATTTTTGCATTAATATAAAAAAACACCCCATTATCTTTCCTACCCATGTCTGCCTTTAAACACTTACCTGGCTCTTGTCACTACTCCAGCACTGTCTTGAATGCATCGCCACTCCCCTTACTCCTTGCTTTCACAGGAGACACTAAGGGCAGCAGCAGCCATAGGCTCCCGCTGCTGTCAGTCAAACTCCTGTGAGGATAGAGTGGGGCATGGCTTACTGGCGCTATGTGTGTCTATGGACGCACACAGACTGGCTTGTAAGCGCACATGCATGGGTGCCTCCTTAGCACCCAACTTGCTAAGGAATCGCCCGAAGCAAGGAGAAAGCGACAGCACTGATTGTGAAAAGAGCAGAAGGCATTGTTTTCTGTGCAATATTGTTGCCACTTTTGCTAAAGTTCCACTTTACAAAACTATGAGCAGGCAGCCAGGCACTTTATTGCAGAAGAGACATGTAGTATCTCTTCTGCAATAAAAGAAACTATCCTTCCCATTTGCAGTTTTCTTTGGAATGTACACTGATCTGGGTTTAAATTCTGGCACAGCTTGTGTGCTGGGATGACTGCACTCACAAGAGTTACGTCATCATGCTCCGGCCAATGAAGACAGCCACAGGCCAGCACCTGGAAGAAGCTGGGTTAAACCATGCTGCAGACACATGTTGGACCTTTGGAGAACAGGTAAGTAACGCAGAGTTTAGCTCTGCTTTAAAGGAAATTGAGATATAACAGATTTACTGGCAGGATCACCAGGTGGAAATAAAGTAAAACAAGCCTGAAAACTAAAACTAATGCAGCCACCACTTCTAAGGACTAGTAAGATGCATTATAAAAGAATGCTTTGTTTGGGGGCTTAATGCCACTTTAAGTGTTGGGGGTGTTGGGGAGACGATAACTACTTGCTGTCCAAAGTCCATGGGTCCCCATGCTGAGGTAAAGTAAATATCTGTTCCTCACAGTGCTATCTGTCAGACCATACTGTCACTGACAGCTAAAGGTCCGATAACAATTGTGAACCATCATGGTTCCTGCTTATGTGATCAAAATAAACTTCTTCACCCTGCAAGTGCTACTGCAGCCTCAAGGGGAACTGTTAATACTAAAAAAACTGTAAGGATTAAAAAAATAATCAGTTTTAAAAAATTTGAAAATTTGTAACACTATAATATTTGTAGCTGCATCTTTGACTATACTCTATGTCTTCATCCTGAATAAAGTTTGTGTTTCCTATTAGTAGACAAGCAGCAGATAAACACATGTGGGCTGTGCACTGTCTCTTCTGTAATGCCATATAACAGTTTTGTATTGGCTAATGTGCCTCTCCCACAGGATAGTATGATGATGTGTCATTAGCTGCAATATAGTCATGCTTTAAATGTGTGCTTGGAAGGCAATGGCCTTACCTCTGAGTCATAAAGCAATATGAAGAATAATTTCCAGAATGTAGATGACCACACAATGCTACCACTGCTCTTGCTTGTGTCTTGAACTTTTCCTAGGTCTGACACACTTTGAGTTACGTCATCCTGAGCAGAATTACTGACCCAAGAGCTCTTTTGGGAGTAACTGTTTCCTATTGGTACCACCAGAGAAAATGGAGGTGCCGGCCCCAGGGTGCTTGGGTTCTCCATGCTAGTAGGTTCTGATTCTGCCAAAGTATGCAAATTTGTAGCTATGACTAGCTGCTTATTCTAAGAAGAATATACTCTGGACACTCATTTTCTTAAAGAAAAAAAGAATATCTCAAAAACTGACACCAGAAAGTATATTTAAATTATGTTATGTATTATAGTTTCAAGCCTTACAAGTCATCCTGCAACAACACAGTTTTCCTCTAAGGAGGCACAGTACAGACAGCATATCAAAATTTAAAGTTTTCTTAAACATTCCATAAGTCTTCCTCTTATACCAGGTATCTAGTGTCCCTTCTTGCATTGGGTGCACATGCTCCTTCTACCGACTCTACAGAAAGATCTTGATCTCACATTAACAGATACTCCTTTTTCTGATTGAGTAGAACGCCATCAGATCGGACAACATGACCTCTGTCACCATACTGCCAAATTTAATAAGTAATTAAATAAGTAATTAGCAACAGTTTTGATAGTGAAAAAAGCAAAAGGGTGCTGTATGAACTGCAGCCTTTTATAGTAAGAAGAAGAAATAGCTTATATTCAAGCAATGAATCATTTAAGTACTACTTATTATTAAGAGACTTTTTTTAAATTAAACCCTGTTTCATTGTTTAGTATAGTTCTTATTGTGAAGCCCTGTGGATTGCAAGTTTCTTGTTTCAAGCCTTTAAATTAGAATAAATAGGGTCAAACCATGAAGGACCCATTTAGGCTACATAATTTAATAAGTAATTAATAAGTAATTAGCAACAGTTTTGATAGTGAAAAAAGCAAAAGGGTGCTGTATGAACTGCAGCCTTTATAGTAAGAAGAAGAAATAGCTTATATTCAAGCAATGAATCATTTAAGTACTACTTATTATTAAGAGACTTTTTTTTAAATTAACCTGTTTCATTGTTTAGTATAGTTCTTATTGTGAAGCCCTGTGGATTGCAAGTTTCTTGTTTCAAGCCTTTAAATTAGACAATGAATTAGCATTATCCACTGTGTCCAATGGATGAAGAATTGACCCAGGAAGCTGTAAGACTGAACCACAGAAACAATAAAATGCTGGCTAAGCAGTGTGACAGATGTGAATGAATCACAAGAATAGCTGAAAAAGCTGCAAATTCTTTGGCAAGTAAAAAGTAAGATTATACAGTATATATATATATATATATATATATATATATATATATATATATATATATATATATATATATATATATATGTGTGTGTGTGTGTTTGCTTGGAGATCTATTTTAACATATGGCAACAATTGTTAGTCTACTTAAATTTTACAGATTCAGGCATCTAGGTGGGAAATCTCTTCAGGAGTAAAAAAAAGAGCTATTCCATGTTTAAACAAATCAGGGTTTTGTGTGCTCCATTGTTTTTCTATTTCACATTGAAATGTGTGTTAGTTGATCCTTACATTAAAAAGAAAATAAAAAAAAAAAAAAAAATGTTTAAATATATATATATATATATATACACACACACACCAGCCACTTTACTAGGTACCCATTTTCAATTGCTTGGTAACACTAATTGCTGATTAGCCAATCCCATGGCAGCATTGAGGAATGAAGACGTGGTGAAGACGACTTGTTGAATTTCAAACTGAGCATCAGAATGGGGAAGAAAGGGGATTACATAGTTACATAGTTAGTCTGGCTGATAAAAGACAAATGTCCATCCAGTTCAACCAAAAAGTGATTTAAGTGATTTTGGACATGGCATGGTTGTTGGTGCCAGACATGCTGGTCTGACTATTTCAAAAACTGCTGATCTACTGGGATTTTCACATACAACCATCTCTAGGGTTTACAGAGAATTATCCGAAAAAGAGAAAATATCCAGTGAGTGGCAGTTGTGTGAACGAAAATGCCTTGTTGATGTCAGTGGTCAGAGGAGAATGGGCAGACTGGTTGCTGCGACATTCAGATGGTAGGGTCAGAAATTGACATTAACAACATGAAAGAATGGATCCATCCTGCCTTGTTTCAATGGTTCAGGCTGGTGGTGTAATGGCATGGGGAATATTTTCATGGCACTAGCAAGGTGTACTTAATAAAGTGGCCAGTGAGTGTATAGATACAAAGCTCCACACTTACCTTGTAGCAAATATTCTGCTAAGCTCATCCAACACATTGTTTAGTTTCACTTGCAGCTCTTTGAGGATGTCACTAGTTTCTGGGTCCAACTAAAATATAGGAAATAAAAATACTGGCTTAAAATTGCTTGACTGTATTCTGTGCATACTCTGTACATTGTGACTAAATGTATTGGAATGTAAACGGTTTTTTCCCTTGGTTAAATGTGTTCTTCTGTGTCCTACTGACTATGGAATTATGCAACAATGGATGTAATTGGCACTTTTATAATATTGATTGAATTAACTTTGTATTCAGTTTTTATATAATACTTCTTGAGTTCTTTTTTAGGTATAAACAATTATTAGCTAATGCTTGTCTACTAATAAATATATTGATTTGTGTTTGCTGACATTGTAAATTGATGACAGTGCCCATCTGTGCCCTTATTTTTGTTTTGGTGTTATGAATTGTGGTAAAATAAAATTTTCTGTTTGATATATATAAAAACATTCAAGGAGGCATCAGTAACTTTGCTTTTCATATATTGCTTCATGTACCTATGCAATGTGGTATTCTTTTAGCAGACTTGTTGTACTGTACATCGTTGCCAACAAGTTCTCTAGTTATTTCACCTTGAGTAAACTGTTTTATGTATTCATGGCCGTACATCATTAAAGTTCTTCGGCATAACATATTTTCCAAATTTTGTATAGTGGTTTGCTCAATTTTTCCTCTTTAGCCTTCCATTCAGAATACAGAGTATAGGAAGGACAAAAATGTCTACATAAATCAATACAGAGCAGGGACATCACTTACTCAAGATGTGCTGCTGCTTCCATTTGGCCAATAGCCCTGATGGTGCACAGGACTCAGAGAGTATCAATTAATTGAGACAAATATTAAACAGATCTGATTACTTATTTATCAAGCACCAAGGAGACCGGAGCACTTTTTTCTGAGGAAACAATTCATCCTTCTGGACTACCAATCCTAGGCCAAAGTTGCTTTTTACAGACTGAGTACTCATGTCAACCTTAGTATTCATATTCTTGCCTAGATATGGATGTTTACATTAACTGCATGTAAGATGAGTAAATTACACCACAGAGTGTCTAGTGTACTCACTTCTTTCCCACCCATTGCTTCAAACATTTTCTCCAGCTGGACACGGAGCTGCTGGATGTTATTCATTAAGATACATGGCTGCAGAGACACATAACAAATAAAAGGAATAACTTTGAAAATTTAAAGAAAAAGTAAACCTCGAAACTACTTTTCAGCATGTTTGGGCATCATGTCTAACTTTATACAGCCTTCTTAACCTCCCTGGCGGTATGATTCTTTCAGATTTTTTGGTGCTGAAAGCGGTACCATTTTTTTGCATGGAAATATGTATTTTTTTTTATTGTAGGCTGTAATTTTTAGGAAAAACTCACTGAAATCTGTCCGAACAAGAGTCTAGTAAACATCCCGGGTATGAAAAAATTTGAAACACAAAATCATAAATTATAATTTAATAAATAATCATAAAAATAATATAAAAATAATAAAAAATTTAATTCAATAATATAATCAAACCAAAAACACTGAAATGTGAAATATAGCGCCAAGTTCGCACATCTCTGAGCAAAGTCGCAAAATCGTTTTCAGTGTCTGATGACGAATTTCCCCCACGAATCATTATCACTCAATTCTGCAAGTGGTTCTGATTTACTATCGCTGTTCTCTAGCTGATCTAAACCGCTTTTGACCTAAAGGGACACTTTTTGGACGCCATGGACATTTCTCAGTTTCCAGGCAGAAAGAACAGACAAAATGCAGGCAGGGCGCAGGACAAAGCACTAGGGACAATATGTATGTGAAATAGGTTGAAACAGCAATGTTTTACTATGAAAAATGTAAAAAAAAAAAAAATGACATTTTTTAAAATTTTTAAATTTCCCGCCGCCGGCGGCAGCGGCGCCCGTACGTCCCGACGTCACAGGGACAGGACACAGAAGCCGGATGCCGGCATCGGCCGGAGGAGATGGCCGGGGACGCTGCAGGGGACACATCGTGGGAGCGCAGGGTAAGGTAAGTGAAGACAACATGCCGGAGCAGTGCCGCAGGGTAAGCCCGAGTGTAGCTCGGGGTTACCGCTCTTGGTACTGAAATGTTACCCCGAGCTACACTCGGGAATACCGCCAAGGAGGTTAAGCAAATGTTTTTTGTGTATCTGTACAAAATGTGGGAATTCCCCTAGTAACAGCATTTCTTGTTTCAGTCTGACTATGCTAGGTCACTGTCACGCAATTAGCATCAGCCTTAGCCTGCCATGTGATCTTCTTTGTTTGGATGTTGGGATGCCTATCAGGTCTATGAGATAGGCAGCTCAATGGCCTACTGAAAGAGTGCACACACAGGCTGACAATGGTGCCCTGAATTGCAAAACAGTGGCTTAGTGTTGCCAGCCTAAAACAGTAAGTGTTGCAACTGGTGGGATATTTATGTAAGAAACTGTTCAACAGTTTTACAAAAAAAATATTTGCTTGAAAGTATTATGCCAAAAATACTGAAAAAAGAGGTTTAGAGTTTATATACACTTCTACGACAATGCAGGTTTAAGAATGGATTGATTTGACATAAATATATATTATGACTGTGGGAAATGTTATTTTCAATCTTGTATCCAGTAATTCCACAGAATGACATTTTCTCCTCATTCTATGCCCTACTTGTAAGGTAATGGCCTGTGGTATACAGTAAATACAGTCAGGTCCATAAATATTTGGGACATCGACACAATTCTAACATTTTTGGCTCTATACACCACCACAATGGATTTGAAATGAAACAAACAAGATGTTCTTTAACTGCAGACTGTCAGCTTTAATTTGAGGGTATTTACATCCAAATCAGGTGAACGGTGTAGGAATTACAACAGTTTGCATATGTGCCTCCCACTTGTTAAGGGACCAAAAGAAATGGGACAATTGGCTTCTCAGCTGTTCCATGGCCAGGTGTGTGTTGTTCCCTCATTATCCCAATTACAATGAGCAAATAAAAGGTCCAGAGTTCATTTCAAGTGTGCTATTTGCATTTGGAATCTGTTGCTGTCAACTCTCAAGATGAGATCCAAAGAGCTGTCACTATCAGTGAAGCAAGCCATCATTAGGCTGCAAAAACAAAACAAACCCATCAGAGAGATAGCAAAAACATTAGCCAAAACAACTGTTTGGAACATTCTTAACCTCCCTGGCGGTATTCCCGAGTGTAGCTCGGGGTAACATTTCAGTACCAAAAGCGGTAACCCCGAGCTACACTCGGGAATACCATGCGGCGCTGCTCCGGCATGTGTTCTTCACTTACCTTACCCTGCGCTCCCACGATGTGTCCCCTGCAGTGTCCCCGGCCATCTCCTCCGGCCGATGCCGGCATCCGGCTTCTGTGTCCTGTCCCTGTGACGTCGGGACGTATGGGCGCCGCCGCCGCCCCCGCGGCGGGAAATTTAAATATTTTAAAAAATGTCATTTTTTTTTTTTTACATTTTACATAGTAAAACATTGCTGTCTCAACCAATTTCACATACATCTTGTCCCTAGTGCTTTGTCCTGTGCCCTGCCTGCATTTTGTCTGTTCTTTCTGCCTGGAAACTGAGAAATGTCCATGGCGTCCAAAAAGTGTCCCTTTAGGTCAAAAGCGGTTTAGATCAGCTAGAGAACAGCGATAGTAAATCAGAACCACTTGCAGAATTGAGTGATAATGATTCGTGGGGGAAATTCGTCATCAGACACTGAAAACGATTTTGCGACTGAGCTCAGCAATGTGTGAACTTGGCGCTATATTTCACATTTCAGTGTTTTTAGTTTGATTATATTATTGAATTAAATTTTTTATTATTTTTATATTATTTTTATGATTATTTATTAAATTATAATTTATGATTTTGTGTTTCAAATTTTATCATACCCGGGATGTTTACTAGACTCTTGTTCGGACAGATTTCAGTGAGTTTTTCCTAAAAATTACAGGCCTACAATAAAAAAAATACATATTTCCATGCAAAAAAATGGTACCGCTTTCAGCACCAAAAATCTGAAATAATCATACCGCCAGGGAGGTTAAAAAGAAGGAACACACCGGTGAGCTCCGCAACAGCAAAAGACCCGGAAGACCACGGAAAACAACTTGAGGGTTCACCACAAGATGTAAACCATTGGTGAGCCTCAAAAACAGGAAGGCCAGATTAGAGTTTGCCAAACGACATCTAAAAAAGCCTTCACAGTTCTGGAACAACATCCTATGGACAGATGAGACCAAGATCTACTTGTACCAGAGTGATGAGAAGAGTATGGAGAAGGAAAGGAACTGCTCATGATCCTAAGCATACCAACTCATCAGTGAAGCATGGTGGTGGTAGTGTCGTGGGCATGTATGGTTGCCAATGGAACTGGTTCTCTTGTATTTATTGATGATGTGACTGCTGACAAAAGCAGCAGGATGAATTCTGAAGTGTTTCGGGCAATATTATCTGCTCATATTCAGCCAAATGCTTCAGAACTCATTAGACGCCGCTTCACAGTGCAGATGGACAATGACCCAAAGCATACTGCAAAAGCAACCAAAGAGTTTTGTAAGGGAAAGAAGTGGAATGTTATTCAATGGCCAAGTTAATCACCTAACCTGAATCCGATTGAGCATGCATTTCACTTGCTGAAGACAAAACTGAAGGGAAAATGCCCTAAGAACAAGCAGGAACTGAAGACAGTTGCAGTAGAGGCCTGGCAGAGCATCACCAGGGATGAAACCCAGCATCTGGTGATGTCTATGCGTTCCAGACTTCAGACTGTAATTGACTGCAAAGGATTTGCAACCAAGTATTAAAAAGTGAAAGCTTGATTTAGGATTATTTTTCTGTCCCATTACTTTTGGTCCCTTAACAAGTGGGAGGCACAGATGCAAACTATTGTAATTCCTACACCGTTCACCTGATTTGGATGTAAATACCCTCAAATTAAAGCTGACAGTCTGCAGTTAAAGCACATCTTGTTCGTTTCATTTCAAATCCATTGTGGTGGTGTATAGAGCCAAAAATGTTAGAATTGTGTTGATGTCCCAATATTTATGGACCTGACTGTATTAATATACTGTAATATTAGTTAGTAAACATATAGCTATATAAAGCATTTAGAACTAGAAAAGCTACAATTTCTGGGGAAATTGTGTGAAGTGTTCTTGCCTCCACCAGTAGTCTACAACTAGAGTGGGCGGAGTAACTGGGTGGAGTGGCTTGAGTAACTGTCTGCTGCCTGCTCACACACCTGGGTTCCTATGGCAACTCACTCTACAGCAAGGGCAGAGAAGAGCAGTAAAAACAAACTGCTCCAACTTGCTCACTTCACTGGTGGTTGCCATCTTCAAATGGTTGTAGTTTAAAAATTATAAATCCTACACTGAAGAGACCCAGACCTACATTTTGATGCATAGTATGTCTCTGAAATATTAAAAATGAAGGCACAGTCGCAGTTTAGAGATTGCCCTTCAAATTTGAGGTGGCTAGAGTGGAGTTTCAATAAATGTCAATGGGCGGCATGAGTTGCAAACAAATGGTTATATTGTGAAAGCTATCAGGACTATGGCTTAGCCATGGACATTTTTAGTGGCAGCAGGGATAGCTGAACGTTTTCATATAAGATTTGTGTAGGTGGGCTTGAAAATGAGGGAGTGATGGCAGTTTAGAAATCATGTCCTGATTTTTTCAGCTCACACTCTAGCTTTTGTCAGCTCCCACTCTAGTTTTGAACATTCCATTATTCATTCCTATGGGACCAATTTCACAACAAAAAACGCCGATATTTCGTGAACCATTCGGCGAAACGTTCCACAAAGTAATAGCACACCAATCGGGAACAATCCGCACGTTTCGGTATATTACTGTCTATGTAGTGTAAAAACTGTGGGAGGAGTTAGGGTGGTAAATTTGGCTATAATAAAAAGAATATATATGTGAGATAACAGTAAGTGGTCTTGCCATGCAAGAACACTTAATAACAATGCAAGCCATGAAAATCAACACAATTTCAAGTATCAGTGGCAAAATGATTGTAATTGTAATTTTAGTTACATTGGCAACTATTACTATTTAGGACAAAAACTATCCTAGATTTGTCACATTACCACTTTCTCCTCTTTCTTCTCTTTAGAGCAGTGTGAAGCGAAGTCTTTGGAGATGATCTCTGCATATTGAAGTAGGACATTACTGATTGTCTAGAGAAAGAGAGAGAGAGAGAGAAGGGAAGAAGAATCACAGACAATTATGAGATTAAAGATAGTAAGATAAAGAGTAAAGGACACATGACACTTGTTGCTTCAGAAACAACTCTGTACAAAAATTCCATAAACATTCTATAAGATTGTTGAAAAGACACTTAAAAAGCAGATTGTCCTTTTCTTTCTGGAAACAATTTTGGAACATAATCATACCTTGGCAAATCTGCGCATATAATGTCCAACTATTTGAGGGTCGGGGCATTCCAACTTCTTAATTATCTCAAAGCTCTGGTTGAGCTGTGAGAAAACATCTACTACAGAACAGGAAAAACAGTGCATGCTCTGAGGTTTGCTGGAACTGCAAGAGGAAAACAAAACATGTTAATCATCCATAAACAATATCTAAATTATTGGCAAGGCAAGCAAACTGATACCACCACTTTCTCCTTACATTTTTTCCACTAATCCCCTCTCCATTCCCTGCTGAGAACTGAACTCCATACCTGGCATCTAGCAGCACGTCCCTGATGCTCCTGCTGCTGCTCTTATCTACTATACCATCATGAAGCAATTTTAGTAACAGTACAGGAAAGTTGCAGTCAATCACAGAAGTAGCCCATGATTTTTTTACCTACTAGAGTGTTAGTTTTGCTCATTGTCAAGCAATGGGAATGATTTACCAAAAGCATATAGACTGTTCACTTTGCAAGAGAAGTTATATTTTGCATGGAAATTTTATCCAGAGCTTAGTGAATGAGGTAAAGCCCTGCTGACTTCCATTATCCTATTATGTTGAAGCAAAAATGCTGGGGTTTTTTCCTTGCAGATTGGGTATTCTTTGCAAAGTAAAATTTCACCATATTCACTAAGCGTTGGGAAAAAAATCGAATGCAAAGCGTAACTTCACTTGCAAAGTGAGCAGCCTAGTTGCTTTTAGTAAATCAACCACTTTGTGTTTTTTTTTTTTTTAAATTATGGAACCTCTACTAAATCTGAGTTTACTAAAGGCAACTGTTCACTTTTTCAAGATAACTTGCACTTTGCAAGTGAGTTTACTGAATGTGGTGAAGCTCTGCTGACTTCCATCATTCAATCCCATGCAAGCAAACATACTTGTTTTTTTTTTTGCATTTGATTTAGTAATTTTGCGAAGTGAAATTGCACCACATTCACTAAGCTCTGTGGAAAATGTCCACGCACAGTGCAACATCCCTCTGAATGTAACCAGCCTATTTGCCTTTAGTAAATCAACCACAGTGTTTCCAATCTGGATCAGCTGTTTACTTGGCTTTTCTGCTGGGAGTCTGACAACTCTAAGCACAGAAAAGCTCAGAACAGAGCACTTCTGGGTTCATTGATCGCAGAGCATATCGGGCAACAGATGTTCCCCTATCTACTTCTGCTCTCCATCTTGACTGACACGAGCAGGACAGCTTGAGAAACACGGCGGGTGGACATCACCTTCACAGTACTGTAAAAGTGATCACTTTTTCTGAATAGCCAGAAAAAAACGATGTGGAACTCACAGCTGCTACTGCAGCTGTGAGCTTATTTTAACCACTTGAAGTCCAGATCATATATATACTGTCTGCAGAAGGCAAGTGTTTAAAGTGCATCTAAAGCATCAGAGCTGAGTGCAGGATTAATGTTCAAGAGGATATGTGGCATGTGTTTAAACAAATGGCAGATCAGAGAATTAAAATAGATAATCTAGATAGAAAAACAGAGCTAGAAGGAACAATTTTCATGTTATAGTTTTTTTCAAAGTGATTGCAGTGTTTGGATTCACTAACCTTTCTTTCAAAATAGCTGAAAAAGACTTTGGGTAAACAAAAGTCTTGTGATCAAGACACAATGGTTTCCCACTAAAACTAAATTTAAACTTCCATAACCAAATTAGTTTTACTAGCGTGAAATAGCCTAGTCAGATTGGTAATTTGGCTCACATGATTAATAAATATCCATCTGCATTTTTCTACAGATCTGCAAAAGCAAGATATTTATTTTACAAAAACCAAACATCATATATTTTTTTATATTTCTTAGAGTAACCTATGATACGTTCATCCAGACTTAAAATGGTGGATGCAGCTAAGAAAGCAAAACACAGCTAACATTCTCCATGAGCACTTTTACAGTTCAAGAAATCATGATATCCATAGACAGCTATGTTATGCACACACCCCTGGTGTGGACAGGTCCTCTGTGGGATGGTATCATTAATTGAGGGATCACTTGGCTCCTAAGGGAATTCTTCAGCAATTTATGAGAGGGAAAGGGGTACTTGATGGCTCTATAATTAAAGCTAGGAATTAACTCTCATTTCTGTAGATTATATAGACCTATCATTCTTATACATTGGATGTGAAAATACAAAGTGACTACATTTATTCATCATAGCAGCCATACATGATGCAAGTATCAACTAAATTTGGCTTTGGTTCTCCATTTTAAAAGTGTTATAGGCTATTATGCACTCAGTTGTTTACAAATATGAGAGGTAATATAAGTGTTCTTGACTTACCTGTTATTACCTGTGTTTCTTTGACTATAGTACAGGACACAGGCTTCCAATAATTAAAGTGGTTCTAAAGGCTTTTGGATTTTTACTCTTATGCATTCTCTGCACTAAGGTAAATAAAAAACCTTATGTATCCAGGATCTCACCCCAGCCCCCACCCCTCTGAAACTTACCTGAGCTCGATCTTGATCCAGCGCTGTGCATGATGAGAGCAGTGGCTCTCTCCACTCACTCCCTCCTCATTGGGGAGACTAATGGCAGCAGGAGCTACTGTCATTCAAATTCTGCTGCTGTCAATCAAATTCTGCAACGAGGGAGTGGGGGGAAGGGCTGAGCCGCACTGTCTGTGTCTACAGATGCAGACAGGGCATCTCAGGATTGAGCCCGCATGGGTGCCCCACAGGAAGGACCTGAGAAGAGGAGAATTATGGCTGCTCTGTGCAAAACGTTTGTTGATTTTAACCATGGACATAATCAACAGTCATAAAGTTTACAGTCACTTTAAGGCCATGGGTTTTATGCTGCCACCTTCAGGTGAGGGCAAAACAAAGCTGTTAGGGCAGCCCAAAAAACCGTCTCACTCTCAGCAATCCTTTAGCAAGCAGTAAAAGGATACACCAAGACAAAGGAAATGCTGTTTTGTGTCCTTTACTGTACAATATAAAAAGGATTTTACAGGTAAGTCAAAAATTCTTATTTCTAAATCTTACAGTACAGGACACAGGCTTCCGTTAGTCGAGACCATGCAATGTCTACAAGTAATTCAACCGAAGAATGGGCAACACAGCAAGCAATGCCAAAAGCCCAAAATAAGCAAGAAACTTGCTCTCAACAGAGAGAATGGCCATCATTAAGGTCACTAGCAACAAAAAAAAAAAAACCCCAAAGATTTATGGGAGTAAGTGGGAATATATGGGTTGTCCTAATAGCTTCTTTTTTTGTCAGTGCAGTCATCTGAAAGTGGCAGCATGTAATGCATGGTCTTAGTTAATGGAAGCCTTTGTACTGTACTGTATAATTAAAGGAGTAGTATAATTAAAGGAGAGGTATGACCAAAGCTTTTTTTGGCTATACTTCTATGGGTCACAAGACCGCAGTTAGTTCTGCATTCTTGTGACTGGTTTTCAGATGACAGCGGGCTGAAGCCCACTGTCAGCTGATGTCACAGAGCCAGTCCAGATTCTGAAAACATCTTGACCATATGGCGATCTGCTGAGAGGCTGAGTCAGCCCCTCCCACTCTCTACACAGCCCAATGCTCCAGTGAGTGCTGGAGGGGCAGAGAGGAGAGACGGTGACTGACAGTCATGGCTCTCTGCTCAGAACGGAGGGGGAAAACTAAGCAATTGTGGTGTTTGATCGCTCAGTTCTTTGTGAAGAGGCGGTGGAGACGGATGCACCATTGGACCGATGCTGCATCCACCAAGATGAGTATAATGCTTTTTTTTTTTTTCAAAACTCCATACTTCTGTTTTAGGGAACTGTGCTTCAGATTTTTCTGCTGCTACTAAACCACTTGTTGAGTTAATCCATACTTCTTCAAACATAGAAGGTTTTTAAGATAAGGGAGCTGGAGAAGGGGGATATTGTTCTACGCTGATAACACCCTAGTAGATTCCTAATGCACTACTGGTACTTCTTCAAGCATATGGTTTCTATTCAGGATTTCAAGTGAATTGGTCCAATATTTTTCTGTTTGTGTTGAACCTATTTTACAAGCTTTGGAACTAATCATATTATAACAATTGATTAAAAAAATAAGTCCAAAGTGGTTTTGTTTCTGTAGCATCAAAACACCCCAAGATGGTTTTTTCTCAGTGTTATAATTTCCCACTGTGGTCTTGCACTACTGGAATTCCACCTACACTAACTTGCTTTACAGCTGGTTTATATATAAATGCTTGCACAACTCTGGGAGTATCTATAGACACGTCATGTCAGTGGCATCACTAAGGTTGATGTCACCTGGTGTGGTGAAACAAGGTATCACCCCCTAAAAAAATATTTATTTCCTGTTTTCTGAAAGTGCTTCAAAGATGTAGCACACAGGACTTTTTGTGCGCTTTCATAAAATTCAGAAAGAAACATGCAACCTAATAGAAATCTATTGGACTGCAGCTATAATTTTGGGAAAAATGCAGGAACACCTCCTTTACATTGCACAGCCCCTGCACCTCTGGACCCCTTTACATTACATAGCCCCTGCATCTCTGGTCCTCTTTACAATACACAGCCTCCTTTACATTACACAGCGCCTTGTGCATTACACAGCCCCTCCTGCTCTTCGCTCTGCTGTGTTAGAGACAGTGGAGCAGGCAATCTGGCTGCCAGCCCTGGGTGTCACCCCTCTGGCGGGTATCATCCAGATGCGGTCTGCACCCCCTGCACCCCTATAGCGAAGCCACTGTTTCATGTGAGACATTAGCTATTGTCATTGTCAGTTTACTATGTTTTAGTTTGTGAATGATATAAAGTAAACACGGTGTACTATGTTCCATTTTATGAATGAATAGGAGTCTATACAGATTCCTATCCATTCATCTACAATGCAGATCAGGCTGCAGAGAAAGGGACAGTCTTCATTCCCTTTCTCTGTCTCAAAAAAAGAGACATTAGAGGTCTATTTAGACCCCTGATACCTCTCCAAAGCCCCCCCAGAATTAAAAAAAATAAGTATTAAAAATAAGTGTTATTTGGTTAACAAAACTAAATAAATAAAATTGTAAAAATAAAAATAAAAAAAATAGTAAGGCTAGGTCCAACCTAGTTCAAACTTTGTGGCCCACGTTTGCGTGGACATAGAAGCCCTTTCTTTTGAATGGGCTGCTGCACTGGCGTTTAACGCAAAAAAAAAAAAGGATGCACCTTTTCCAAAACACATCCGCAAGAAAACTGCATGGTGTTTTTGACCATGTGGTTTCCAGCACCCGCAATCGCACTGTGGGCTGAAATGCGTGATGGTGCCATTCAAAATGAATGGGAGCCCTACGCGTCTCACTGCAGGTTTTTGCGGGTTCGGGTGCGATAGTGTGAACCAGGGCTAATTGTCTAATCTCCCTTACATCTGAAGCCAAGGGATACGCTCCAGAGGCTACTGACAGGCAGTGAGGAAGTGAAGGGACTCACCACTTGTTTTAATCCAATTTTTCCAATTTCATGAATTGCACACAGTTGCTGGGTGTTTGCAGTGCTTCCCCATTTTCCCCCCCAGGATTTTAGTTTATTTTTAGCGAAAATATAGTTTTGATTAACGTGCACAAATATCACTGTGCCTTAAAAAGCAGTAGCAACTTTTTGTTCTAAAGATCGTGGGCTTTCAGAAAATATATTTGTTTTGGAGGGGGTGTAACTTTACAAACTCTGAAAGCTGTAAGTGAAATTAAACCCTCCAGATATTTAGAGAAATTTGGTTATTTACATTTTTGCATACATTCGATTTTTACTATTTCCCAAAAGGACGCAATTTAAAATGTACAAATATTTGTTATTTATTAACTCAATACAGGTTAAGCTTTTATACTGAGTAAGAATTTTTTTTAAAATTTGCTTTGTTTGTATTTGCTAATAATGAGTTTAGTGTATTTTTAGTGAAAATATTGATTTGATAAACATCTGTACTAATATTGCGGGGCCTTAAAATTCAGTAGCACCTTCTTTTTATTCTACTGGTAATGTGCTTTCAGAAAATACAGGTGAAACTCGAAAAATTAGCATATCGTGCAAAAGTTCATTTATTCCAGTAATGCAATTTAAAAGGTGAAACTAATATATGAGATAGACTCATTACATGCAAAGCAAGATAGTTCAAGCCGTGATTTGTCATAATTGTGATGATTATGGCTTACAGCTCATAAAAAAAAAACCCAAATCCACAATCTCAGAAAATTAGATTATTACATGCAATCAATAAAACAAGGATTGAACATAGAACAATATCGGACCTCTGAAAAGTATAAGCATGCATATGTACTCAGTACTTGGTTTGGGCCCCTTTTGCAGCAATTACTGCCTCAATGCGGCATGGCATGGAAGCTATCAGCCTGTGGCACTGCTAAGGTGTTATGGAAGACCAGGATGCTTCAATAGCAGCAGTGAACCAGGTTTTGGTGCTTTTGGCAGTGTGGACAGGTACCAAGTCCTGCTGGAAAATGAAGTCAGCATCCCCATAAAGCTCATCTGTGGAAGGAAGCATGAAGTGCTCCGAAACCTCTTGGTAGACGGCTGTGTTGACCCTGGACTTAATGAAGCACAGTGGACCAACACAAGCAGATGACATGGCTCCCCAAATCAACACAGACTGTGGAAACTTCACACTGGACTTCAAGCATCTTGCATTGTGTGCCTTTCCATTCTTCCTCCATACTCTGAGTCCTTGGTTTCCAAATGAGATGCAAACGTTCCTCTCATCAGAAAAGAGGACTTTGGACCACTGAGCAACAGACCAGGTCTGTTTTTCTTTAGCCCAGGTAAGACGCTTCTGACGTTGTTTGTTGTTCAGGAGCGCATTGACAAGAGGAATACGACATTTGAAGCCCATGTCCAGGATCCGTCTGTGTGTGGTGGCTCTTGGTGCACTGACTCCAGCCTCAGTCCACTCCATGTGAAAGTCCCCAACACTTTTGAATGGCCTTTTCCTGACAATCCTCTCTAGGCTGTGGTCATCTCTGCTGCTTGTGCATCTTTTTCTTCCACACTTTTCCCTTCCACATAACTTTCTATTAATGTGCTTTGATACAGCACTTTGGGAACATCCAACTTCTTTTGCAATTAACTTTTGAGGCTTTCCCTCCTTATGGAGGGTGTCAATGATGGTTTTATGCACAACTGTCAGGTCAGCAGTCTTTCCCATGATTGTGATTTCTACTGAACCAGACTGAGAGACCATTTAAAGGCTCAGGAACCCTTTGCAGGTGTTATGGCTTAATTAGCTGATTATAATGGGACACTTTGAGCCTAGAATATTGCACCTTTTCGCAATATTCTAATTTTCTGAGATTGTAGATTTGGGGTTTTCATGAGCTGTAAACCATAATCATCACAATTAAGACAAATCACAGCTTGAACTAACTTGCTTTGCATGTAATGAGTCTATCTCATATATTAGTTTCACCTTTTCAGTTGCATTACTGAAATAAATGAACTTTTGCATGATATTCTAGTTTTTTGAGTTGTATATGGTTTGATGGGTCTTTTACAAACTCTGAAATCTGTAAGGGAAAAATAAAAAAGCAATGGAAAAATTAAAAAAAAGTGGAGAGCAGGGCCTGGCAGCTAAAGGGTTAAAAACTAATTCCATCTATTTCACCATGTTACACTGATATATAGGGTGCAACTTGTAATGAATAGATGAGTTCACCATGACAGATAACAAACTATCTGATAAACCTTTACAAATCATTACTGATGTGTTTTTATCCAAGGTAGAATTGGAGGTCCCCATGGACATGTTTTTAACACTTAATTACAAAGATATGTGGCTTTCTATATGAGTACCTTGTTCTATTTGTTTGTTAAAAAAAGAGCACCTAACTAAAAAGGTGTCTTTAAAAGTAATCAAAATTGGAACAATTAGTGCTGCAAAGTCATTTGTTAATGCTTTCATTAAAAAAATAAATATAAGAAATGTATCCAGAGATGTAAAACAAAAGATAAAATTATGTAAAAGTTACAATTTCTATTTCTAATTGTTAAAATATATGTAAAGCTTTTCTCAACTGACCCCATCTTTTTTGTCTCTCTCCAGGGCTCCATGAAGAAAATCCCGGGAAACCTCTTCATTCTCATCTAACCACTGGATAACAAAAGGTTCAAACCAACTGTAAAAGCATAAAAAAATATGAACTCAGGGTGTCAATTTATTTGACAAAATAAATGATTCTGATGCAATTTTGTTACATTTCAACAATGTATGATATTAAAATAAATCTCTTATGCACTAGCATTACATGTGTTTTAATCATGTAAACCATTCCAAACATAAAAGCCAAAGGCTCGGTTCACACTGACGCCAAGTCGGCATGACATGTGAAATCCCATATTAGTCAATGAGAGCTGTATTAGCACTACTGAAGTTGCTCCGACTTTAGAAAAGGTTCCTGTACTACTTCAAGGCAACTTCTATCTGAGTTGTGCCCAAATACTTTAATGGAAGTTGCCTCCAAGTCAGATCCTCATCTATATTGATGTGAATGGGATCCGACATTACAGGAGGATTACCCAGGCATTTCCTGAAAGTTGCTTCACAGTTGCTTCAAAGTAGTACTCAAGTTGCCTGGCAAAGTTGCACTGTAAGTCACGCAACTTTCAGGTCGTAGTAGTGTAAACTGAGACTAACTCCAGCAATAAAAAGGTTTTGCTTTGGATAAAGTTCTGGCAGGTTTCTATTTCTGACTATGACCCTATTGGACAGGTTTCCTGTACTTGTGGTTGTCATGTATCACAGGAGCTTGAGCTGTATGGTGGTCACTTAAAGTACTAAAATAAAAAAAACATTGGCGCAATAAAACCATTGTCAGAAGTTCTAACCCTTTCTCCCCGCTGCTAAAAATGTATTCTTGTTTTTGTCTTTGTTGGAGAGTTTCCCATCACTTCCTATTTCGACAGAAAGGAAGTAAGGAGGAATCTTCCCAAAAGGGACACAGATAACAATAAAAAACCAACACAGCCTTTCCCTGCTCCTAAAAAAATGGCTGTTCTTAAACTTGAATAGATAGTATACCTTGGGGAACATACTGATACCAAGCCATGAACATAAATGAGATTCTATTTAGAAATTTCTGATACCACCATGCCACTTACGCTGGATATTCAGGCACTTTGTTCTTAAATGCTGGAAGCTCTGTCACATATTCATTGTATAGCCATTTGACTTTGAAGTGTAAATTCATGTAGTCCGCACTCTTACATAGACGGTGCTTATCATGTTCTATAATAGAAATACAAAAAGCACATTTTGTAAATGATGAGTGAATGTTGAAAATTAAATCTGCCAGCGGTTTCCGCAGTCCACATACGTCTTCTGGTTTTATTTCAGTTAAAGTAACGGTTTCTGAAAAGCACACCAAAGATACAGCATGCAGAACTTTTGGTGTGCTTTCATCAAAAATGCATCAAAAAGGAGCAATCTAATAGAAGTTTATGGGAAAGCACAGGTAATCTGCAAGAAAACCATGAGTACACGCAGGGGCGGACTGACAACTCATGGGGCCCCCAGACAATAGGGGATCAGGAGGCCCCTGTGTCCTTGCCCAAACTCAAAGGTACCAGGGGCATCTCATGGGGCCCCCTACTGACCCCGGGCCCTCGAGCAGTGCCCGAGTTTCCAAATGGTCAGTCCGCCTCTGAGTACATGCTAACCTGCTTTGCAGCTGTGTGAAAGCACCCTAAGGCCCTGAGAAAGAAGGTTGTGGATGCCAATAAGTCTAGAAAAGAATTGAAAATGATTGCCCAAATTAACTGAAAGCATTCCAGTGCAAGAAAGTAATATATACGTACCACAGATTTCAAACAACTGCTAATTTTTTCAGGACAGCCCAGCCCGACAAATCCAGCCCAAGTGCTGACCATTTACTGCTAAAGGAAGCTTCTGAGAACCCAAAAATTTGATCATGGGACCTGTATGTAACTCCTGCAAAACTTGGTGTCAAAGTGTATGCATCTACTATCAGAGACGGTATGGAGTCCCCCCCACCACTCCATACCAGGCACTTCAGGTCTGGTAAGGATTTTGAGGGTCCATGCCAAAATAAAAAAAAATTGGCATTGGGCCCCTCCCAAAATTCATATCAGACCCTTATCTGAGCATGCCTCCCGGCAGCTCAGGAGGAGGAGGTGGAGGACATCATGATTAATGTATCTACACCGGAGAACATTTTTTAAAAAATGTTGCTCTCTGGCCAGGGTTGTGGGGAAGAGGCCCATATGGCCTGGTATGGTACAGGGGGGAGGGGCGCTCATTTGTGCCCACCCTTTCCTGACCTGCCAGGCTGCATGTTTGGATAAGAGTACAGTATGGATTGGGGTTGGGACTCTACGCCATTTTTTTTCTTAATTTTTAATTGCCAGCAATATTTTTTTTTACATTCAGCTGTCAGCATGGAACCTCGCTCACAGCTGACGACTCGGCTGCCTGCTCTTCAACAGCCAATCCATACCACATGCCTCGCACTACTTAACTACCGCTTGCATTTAATAATTTATTTTCTTCTGTGAATTAACATTAACGTCTTTTTATATGGTACTTACTGAGCGTTTTTGCTATTTGCGGTAAATACTGCATACTAGCGATAGTGAATTTACATTTTCAGTATCGCATGCGATATGTGGCCATGTGACAGACAGACATAACACATGCGATAACCTTTAGTAAATTGTCCCCTATAACACAAATAAGTAAATCAGCTTGTTTTTTTAGTTAAAAGTAATATAAAATTTGTATTTTTTTAAATGCAGCAGAAGCACTTTTTTTAAGAGAAAACTGTACTTGTCCATACTTGACACACACTTTAACTAAAATACACCAATGATACCTTGCTAGGACATTCTGGAATGATGTCATTGGATTTAATCACAAATGGCACTGTGAAAGGTGAGGAAGGTGTATTTTAACCCATAGCTTCACTTTTCTAGTTTAGATTAGAAAATGACAAACTAACCCTTGTTTTGGTGACACAGTTAAAATATTATTATTTTTTTCATTGCTTCAGTTTTCATAAATCAGCCCTGTGATGCTACAAATATTTCTTCATCATTAATGGTAAAGTTTCAGCCTCAGTGAGTTCAGCTCACATACTCACCTTCCATGGCATATTTCATGTCCTGAGCAAACAGACTCCACATGACTTCAGCACTAATCTTTCCAACATTTAATTCCTGGGGGAATCTAAAAATATAGGAGGAAAGATCAGCATAGAGTATTATTTGAAAAGAATATATATATGGAAAATCAGTAGAAATGAAAGAAAACTCTCTAGAAGAGATAGAACCGCCCGAAAGTCAGAAAAATCTAGGTAATCCATATCCATAGATGTCTTTAGTATGCTAAGATTGGGCAGACACCAAATAGCAGTGGATGTACCCAATTACACTTGATATACAATGGATATAAAAAGTCTACACACCCCTGTTAAAATGTCAGGTTTATGTGATGTCAAAAAATGAGACAAAGATAAATAATTTGAGAACTTTTTCCACATTTAATGTAACCTATAAACTGTACAACTCAGTTGAACACAAAAATAATATGACTGCATAAGTGTGCACACTCTTTAACCTCCCTAGGTCAGTATTTCTGTGCTCAAAGTGGTACATTGTTTTCAATGGAAATATGTAGGTTTTTTATTGTAGGCCTGTAGATCTTAGGAATAACTCAATGAAATCTGTCCGAACAAGAGTCTAGTAAACATCCCAGGTATGATAAAATTTGAAACACGAAATGATAAATTATAATATAATAAATAATCATAAAAAATAATAATATAAATAATTTAATTCAATGATGTAATCTAACCAAAAACATTGAAATTTGAAATAGAGAGCCAAGTTCGCACATCACTGAGCTTAGTTGCAAAATCGTTTTCAGTGTCTGATGATGAATTTCCCCTAGAATCATTATCACTGAATTCTGCAAGTGGTTCTAATTTACTATCGCTGTTCTCTAGCTGGTCTAAAATCGCTTTTGACCTAAAGGGATGCTTTTTGGACGCCATGGACTTTTCTCAGTTTCCAGGCAGAAAGAACAGTAAAAATGCAGGCAGGGCACAGGACAAAGCACTAGGGACAAAATGTATGTGAAATGGTTTGATACAGTAATGTTATACTATGTGATTTTAGTGTATTGAGTGAATGTCACTTTTAAAATTTTTTAATTTCCCGCCGGTTCTGTCCCCCGTACGTCCTGTACATCCCGACACTCACAGGGAACGGAACCCGGAAGATGGATGCCAGCATCAGCCGAAGGAGATGGCCGGGGACGCTGCAGGGGGGACATCCCGGGAGCGAAAGACAAGGTAAGTGCTGGAGGGAATCCCTGAGCAATGCTGCAGGGTAATCCTGAGTGTAGCTCGGGTTACTGTCATGTTTTACATGACTGTTATATTGACTGTCATATGCCTTTAAGTGTTTCTATATGTTGTTTCTGCTCCTCCCTTTCCTTTGGTTTAGTTAATGCTGTATAGATAGCCCTCCCCCCTTTCCCAGAAATGCATTGCAGCTCTAGCCTCATGTCATGGAGCAGGAAACATTATGATCTTTTGACCTATCGAATGTTCATTGTTGTAAGATTCTCTCAGTTTATGGAATAAACTTCACAAGATCTACAAGATGTCTTATCGATTGAGTCACTGACTGTGATATCCAACTGAGGTTGAAGTTATCGCTATCTCATCACAACTGTAAGTTACAGAGATCACACTATTAATGCTTAGATTGGAGAGACAGAACAGTCAAAAGATCAGTGAAATGCTTCATAGGATCCTTACAAGTCAAAGGATCAGTGAAATGTCTTCATAAGAATCCTTGCTAGCTAGAATACACAGTAAGATGTTACATGAATACTGGATATAACAGCTATAGAGAGTTCAGCCACCTCTACACAAGTCTGTACATGCCTCCAAGTATATCCCAGCATAACACTCATCAGTGTCAGGACAAATTATTGAAGTGAATGTTTTACAACTGCAAGTTTATTCACTGCATCTGTATGCATTACCACAGGGCTTGCCTGTGAACTTATAAGAAAGAAAAGAAAACTTTCCTGCAATCATTGCCTAGGAAACCTGAACTCACCAACAGAAAAAGTGATACATTTCTCTGTAAACTTTCTATCAGCCCCCTCTCCTTGCTAACATGATGTTTCAGGAAAGTAATATACAGTCTTGGGAAACTAATACACAACCACAATCAGAGCTTCATCCAGAGCAGGACTTAGATAACAGAGAAAAACGCTTAAATCTTAATGCTGACAAAGAAGAATTGCTGTCTAATATCAATGACTTATGGTCTAATACTGTTGCAAGTCTGCTCTCTCTCAACAATCTCATGAGCCAATACAACTAGTGGGCGCTATCCAGCAATTGAATGTTGCTTATGAGAATTATCAAAGACTGTGTTAAATATGTTGCTCTGTTAAAAAAGCGGTACAACAGTCAAAGGTCATTGGAAGAATTAATGAGTTTTGAGGAGCTCAATCTTGAAAGAGACAATTTAGTGGTGCGATCAAAGACAAAGGCAGAAGTGACAATAACACAGCTCCATGAATCCAGATCGTATCGCTCTGCATCTACTAGACGCTCCTCAAGATCTTCCATATCCATACAATCAAGGTCTTCTGCACTCAGTCAACAACTAATAAAAGCCTGTGCTTATGCTGAAGCTTCTAAAATTCAGGCAGCTTTTGCGCAAAAGAAAGCAGAAATAGAGGCTCAGGCTGCATATAAGAATGCAGAAATTGAGGCTCAGGCCGATATAAGAAAGCAGAAATGGAGGCTCAGGCTGCAGAATTGGAGGCTCAGGCCGCACATAAGAAGGCAGAAATAGAGGCTCAGGACATGCATAAGAAAGCAGAAATAGAGGCTCAGGCTGCAGAATTGGAGGCTCAGGCCGCACATAAGAAGGCAGAAATAGAGGCTCAGGACATGCATAAGAAAGCAGAAATAGAGGCTCAGGTCGCATATAAGAAAGCAGAAATAGAGGCTCAGGCCGCACATGAGAAAGCAGACAAAGAAGCTAAAGCCACATGTCAAAAGCCAGAAACTGAAGTTTTGGAAAAACAATGTGAGCATGCCACAGCCATGGCAAGGTTAAGGGTCTTAGAACAAGCCGTTAGTGAAAACAAAAGAGACAACAGTTCCAGACACTCAGTTGTATCTTATGTCTCAGATTCTTCACACACCTCTCCAGAACCTCAACTCCCTGTCACAGCAGCCAAAGTACTCAATCAAAGTCTCTTCTCTGCACCTACCGTACCTCAAGACGATTTGCCCTTATATCCTTCAATACATCAGACTGCAGCATCTCAGATAGCCACAGACACTGGTATGTATTTAATAGAACGTCCACCTTACTTTGGCACCAACAGAGTACCTCCTAGCAAATCCACTACTCTACAAACCAACATGCCAATGGACTTTAGCCAGCTCTGGCATTGAATGCCTTAGCAGCAACATATGTTCCCAAGTCACTCCACGTAAGTCCACCAACCGTCACAACCAACTCTGTTCCACCTGCAGTCATGCACCCAAAATCTGAAAACACGGACATGTCATAGTTTGCTAAATACATGATCTACAGAGAGCTTATTAAGACAGGCCTCACCAAGTTTGATGACAAGCCTGAAAATTACAGAGGCTGGAAATCCACTTTTAAGGCCACAATAAGTCACCTAGACATCAATGCCACAGAGGAATTAGATCTGCTCATCAGATGGCTAGGTCCCCAGTCTACTGAACGCATCAAGAGGCTCAAGACAGTTCATATTGACAACCCTGCTGCAGGCCTTAATGCTGCTTGGGGCAGACTTGAACATACCTTTGGCAGCCCAGAGGCCATTGAAGATGCTTTATTCAAAAGGTTGCAAAGCTTCCCAAGGATTTCTGGTAGCGACAATCTAAAGTTTCAAGAATTCAGCGATGTTCTATTAGAGCTTCAACTTGCTAAGGCTGACATCAACTTACCTGGTCTCAGTTACCTTGATACCTCTCATGGCGTCAAATCTATTGTTCTCAAGCTACCATATGGAATTCAAGAAAGATGGGCAGCGCTTGGACCAGATTATATGGAAAAACATAGAGTTGCCTTTCCTCCTTTTTCCTACTTCTGCGAGTTCATCAAAAAAAATTGCAGACACTACTAAGAATGACCCAAGTTTCTCATACGGGGACTGTAACCTTCTCAGTAAACTCTCTCCAAGACCTACGAACACACGTATGCCGCACAGAGACCGCAGAGGTCCAGCGTAAGTGAAAAGGACTAATGTTCTACCTGCACCTGCTACAGTTCTTAAAAAGACTGATCAAAACAAGAGAATTGAGGACCCAAATCGCCAGTGTCCAATACATAACAAACCACATCCACTTAAGAAATGTATCGGCTTCAGAAAGAAAATCCTCCAAGAACGTAAGGAACTTTTGAAGAAATTTGGGTTTTGCTACAAATGCTGTGCCTCCACAGAACACTTTGCAAAGGACTGTAAAGTGATCATCAAATGTATAGAGTGTGTCAGTGATGACCATGTGCAAGCTCTCATCAATATTCACACAACTCTACTACGCTCACAAACAATCTTCCTAAGGCAAAGCAAGGCAGGGAGCACCCAGATCAAGCAGCACCTACCACCCCAGTGTATAAAGGTCTGTGGAGAAGGATTCTGTGACAAATCTTGTGCAAAGATATGCTTGGTCCGTGTATATATCCCAAAGGTCAACCTGAAAAGGCCATAAGACTGTATACTGTTCTGGATGATCAGAGTAACAGATCTCTTGCAAGAACACAGTTTTTTAAACTGTTGAACATAACTAGAGATGCTCTGCCTTATACTCTAAGCACTTGTTCTGGTACTACAGAAGTCTTAGGTAGGAGAGCCAGTGGTCTTGTAGTTGCTCCTCTGAATGACAATGTGGAAATATCTTTGCCCACTATCACTGAGTGCAACCAGATTCCAAGCATAAAAGAGGAGATCCCTACTCCTGAAGCTGCTTTTCACCATTCTCACTTAAAGCACATAGCCAACCAAATACCAGCCTTCAATTAAAGTGCCGATATCCTGCTGTTACTTGGTCGAGACATCCTCAGGGTGCACAAAGTTTGTCATCAAATCAACGGTCCACACAATGCACTATATGCTCAGCGTCTGGATCTAAGATGGGTCACCATAGGCAATGTCTGCCTAGACAAGGACAAGAGGTCCTACTCAGTCTCTTTAAAACACATTTCCTGTCAAATGGACGAACAACTTGTTCTGCACAACGAAGATTACAGAAACTTCCTCAGGTTCCGATGGTACAGCAATAATGATGTCATCGATGAAGTCATAGATTACCGAATGAAGGTACATGTTTTCGGTAACAGTCCTTCTCCTACAATAGCAATTTATGAACTGAGGAAAACAGCTCAAGAGGGTGAGAATTTGGAACTGATGCAAGACAGTTTGTCAAAAGGAATTTCTATGTATACGACGGACTCAAAATCTCTGCCCAATGAAGAAGAAGCTATTGACCTTCTAACTAGAACCCAGAACATGCTTGCCACTTCAGACCTCAGACTCAAAATCATCTCTAACAGCAACAAGGTCATGATAGCCTTTCCTTCTGATGACCATGCTATCAGTGTGAAGAAATTCCAACTAGGATCTGACCTTTCTGTTACACAATGCAGTCTTGGATTGCTTTGGAATGTTAAACAAGACAGATTCACATTTCAAGCATCAGCCTGTGACAAGCCCTTCACAAAGCGAGTATTGTCTACAGTAAACAGCATTTATGATCCGTTGACACCTCTCACCATTCAGGGTAAGATCCTGCTGAGACAACTTACTTCTGAAAGTCCAGACTGGGATACCCCCTTACCTAAGGAGAAACAACAAAGGTGGGAATCTTGGAAACAGTCCCCAAAAGCATTAGAACAACTCCAGATCGCACGCTCTTACACCCAATCATCCTTAAAAAATGCCCCCAAGAAGAGAGATTCTCTGATGCTTCCAACAAAGCCTTTGCTGCGGTGGCTTATCGTCGAGCTATGGATCCCAGAGGTAAAGTGGGTGTAGGATTCATCATGGGCAAGACCATGCTCACACCAAAACCTGCACATACTATTCCAAGGCTTGAATTTTGTGCAGCTGTGTTAGCTGTGGAAATTGCTGAGCTTATAGAACTTGAAACAGATGTTGAAATAGACTCCTTTGACTTTTATACACAAAATAGTGCTAGGATATATACACAATCGCACAAGACAGTTCTACGTGTATGTCGGCAACAGAGTGGAACACATAAGAAAGTTCTGTACGCCTGAACAATGACATTATGTTCCCACTAGCCTCAACCCTGCTGACTGCGGCAGTCGTGCAGTACCTACTACTGCATTCCTGGACACATCTTGGCTATATCCACCAGTACTCTTGAATGATAAACTTTTCTCAAGTTCAACAAATTCTACCTTTGAACTGGTTCATCTGGAATCTGATAAGGAAATCAGAGCTGTTACCATCACACTCAACACCTCTGTGAAAGCAAGGGTAGGACTGAGTCCTCACCATTTTGAATGCTTTTCTAAGTGGTCCTCTGTTGTACGAGCCATTGCACATCTTGTTTACATTGCTCATCAGTTTGCAAACAGCACTAGCACTGAAAAAGTGTGTCACAACTGGCACATCTGTAAAGCCCCCCCCCCCCCCCCCCCCACAATTGAGGAGGTCTTTCAAGCAGAAAGGGTCATTATTCAATGTGTCCAACATGAAGTGTACTCACAAGAGATACCATATCAAAGGGACTCAACCTATCTAAGGATAGCTCTCTGTACAAATTAATTCCAATAATTGATCACAACAAGCTATTGCGAGTCGGTGGTTGCATTGGAAGATCCCATTTGTCCAGTGAAGACAGAAATCCCCTCATTATTCCAGGACGTTATCACATTACTGCTCTGTTAGTTAGACATTTCCATGAGCGAATTCCACCCACCTCATTCCTCTCACATGGGAGGCTATTGGGAATGCATGATTAGAGTTGCAAGAAAGATCCTGGACTCTATGCTACTGGACCAGAAAACTTTTCAATTTACTCATGAAATCTTAGTCACTCTTCTTGCAGAAGTGTCTGCTATAATCAATGCAAGGCCATTGGTCCCTGTGTCCTCAGATCCAGAGTTCCCAGTGTTGCTCACTCCAGCTACTCTTCTTACCCCAAAAACTGGGGTAGCCACTATTCCCACATAGGAACTTGATTACCCTAACATTTACAAGCATCAATGGTGACGGGTTCAACATCTTGCTAATGTGTTTTGGAATCGCTGGAAGATGGAGTACCTTTCTAACCTTCAAAGTCGTAATAAATGATAAACTAGCAAACCCAATCTACAAGTGGGAGATGTAGTTCTTTTGAAGGAGACAGATTCCCATCGTAACCATTGGCCCATGGGTCTTATTACAAAGACTATGCCAAGTAACGATGGAAAGGTACGCAAGGTAGAAGTTAAAGTCATGAAAGAAGGTTCTGCACACCTTTACTCCAGGCCTATAAAGGAACTAGTATTTGTTTTTCCCAAAGAGGAAGACAAGTCATCAACCTGATTTAAAGGGAGGTAAGAAGGAATCGTGTATGTTACTGCCTTCCCCTCTGAATATGGATTTAAATGCCTTAGCCTGGACTTTCGAGACCAACATATGTATTATGCTAAATGTTTGCATTGTTTTCCTGTGTTCTTCCCTTCCCTCTTGTTTTGTAGATGTTCCTGGAAAGAATCTTCATTATTTGTATTGGAGTTGAACTAAAGTTTATTATAATAGAAATCATAGATTTAGACGGGGAGTGTCATGTTTCACATGACTGTCATATTGACTGTCATATGCCTTTAAGTGTTTCTATATTTTGTTTCTGCTCCTCCCTTTCCGTTGGTTTAGTTAATGCTGTATAGACAGCCCTTCCCCTTTCCCAGAAATGCATTGCAGCTCTAGCCTCATGTCATGTAGCAGGAAACATTTTTTATTTATTATTTATTTATTTCAGGTACTTATATAGCGCCATCAATTTACGCAGCGCTTTACATTGTACGTTCACATCAGTCCCTAACCCTCAAGGGATGTAATCTAAGGTCCCTAACTCACATTCATACATACACATACTAGGGCCAATTTTTAGACAGGATCCAATTAACCTACCAGCATGTCTTTGGAGTGTGGGAGGAAACTGGAGTACCTGGAGGAAACCCACGCAGGCACAGGGAGAACATGCAAACTTCAGGCAGGAGCTGCCGTGGCTGGGATTCGAAACAACGACCCTAGTACTGACAGGAGGAAGTGCTAACCATTTAGCCACTGTGCTGCCCATTATGATCTTTTGACCTATCGAATGTTCATTGTTGTAAGATTCTCTCAGTTTATGGAATAAACTTCACAAGATCTACAAGATGTCTTATCGATTGAGTCACTGTGGTATCCAACTGAGGTTGAAGTTATCGCTATCTCATCACAACTGTAAGTTACAGAGATCACACTATCAATGCTTAGATTGGAGAGACAGAACAGTTACCGCTTTTGGTACTGAAAGCGAACCCCGAGCTACACTCGGGAATACCGCCAGGGAGGTTAAACAAATACTTTGTTGAAGCACCTCTTGATTTTATTACAACACTCAGTCTTTTTGGGTATGAGCCTATCAGCATGGCACATCTTGACTTGGCAATATTTGCCCACTCTTCCTTGCAAAGGCACTCCACATCTGTCAGATTGCAAGGGCATCTCCTGTGCACAGCCCTCTTCAGATCACCCCACAGATTTTCGATCGGATTCAGGTCTGGGCTCTGGCTGGGCCATTCCAAAACTAATCTTCTTCTTCTCTGGTGAAGCCATTCCTTTGTTGATTTGAATCTTTGCTTTGTGCCGTTGTCATGCTGAAAGATGACATTCCTCTTCATGTTCAGCTTTCTAGCAGAAGCCTGAAGATTGTGTGCCAATATTGACTGGCATTTGGAACTGTTCATAATTCTCTCTACCTTGTCTAAGGTCCGAGTTCCAGCTGAAGAAAAAGCCCCACAGCATGATGCAGCCACCACCATGCTTCACTGTGGGTATGGTGTTCTTTTGGTGATGTGCAGTGGTGTTTTTATGCCAAACATATCTTTTGGAATTATGGCCAAAAGGTTCAACCTTGGTTTCATCAGACCATAACACATTTTCCCACATGCTTTTGGGAGACGTTAGATGTGTTTTTGCAAACTTTAGCCGGGCTTGGATGTTTTTCTTTGTAAAAAAAGGCTTCTGTCTTGCCACTCTACAGCATAGCCCAGACATATGAAAAATATGGGAGATTGTTGTCACATGTACCACACAGCCAGTACTTGCCAGATATTCCTGTGGTTCCTTTAATGTTGCTGTAGGCCTCTTGGCAGTTTCCCAGACCAGTTTTCTTCTCGTCTTTTCATCAATTTTGGAGGGACGTCCAGTTCTTGGCAATGTCACCGTTGCGCCTTATTTTCTGCACTTGATGATGACTGTCTTCACTGTGTTCCATGGTATATGTAATGCCGTGGACATTCTTTTGTACCCTTCTCCTGACTGATACCATTTAACAATGTGATCCCTCTGATGTGCCTTACTTCTCTGTGTGTGGTTTAGGTTTATTTATTTTAAGACCTTTTATAGAAATCTGCAGGATAGCAATATATGTTTTGAATATACTGGGTGGGTTCTCAGCGACAATGTGCACCATTATCCATGCTTTAGAATAATCACATTCCATATCACACCATCCCACATATCCTTCTGTCACAGCACTGCTTAACTCATAAAATAATGTGTAACAAGTAACAAAAAAGTGGAATCCTTAAAACTTACTGGTTTAGACAAGGTGTGTATGAATTCTTATCCTCTTCTATGATAGACACTATCAATGTAATTAGTTTGGACCAAAAATCCAAATTCTTGATACTTGGCCCCTGCTCTTCTGGGGGCACCTCCCCCTTTTTAGTCTATAGGAGAAAAAGAAGGTAAAAACTTACAGTGTACGTTGTAGTATAGTTTCATCAGACATGCATATTGCAAATAATTGTTAGTGGATCTTGGGTGTACCTGTAAGGGAGCACAGGCAGTGGCCCCTGTGTAAATGAAGCCAGTAAATAGGGTTTGCTGACTTTATTGATAAATGTTGTTACAATCTAATCTTCAAATACGGAAATATTTCTTCACAGTAAGAGCTGCGAAAATGTGGAATAGACTGGCCAGCTCAGTAGATTGCTTTAAAAAAGGCTTGGGTTCTTTCCTAGATACACATAATAAAACTGGATACTAACATTTATTGGTAAAGTTGATCCAGGAAATATCCAATTGCCTCTCGGAGGATCAGGAAGAATTTTTTCCCCTGCAGGAGCAAATTGCATCATGCTTTGCTGGGGTTTTTTGCCTTCCTCTGAATCAACTGTGGGTAAAGGATAAATCATTTTTTTTCCTTTTATGGTTGAACTAGACAGATTTGTGTCTTTTTTCAGCCAGACTATGTAAAGGGGCATACATATTTATAAAGTAGTGAATGTAACATAATAATTCCCTGAAATGTAAAACACATGATACAGTAATATTCACCTGCAGTGAATATTTGTTCAATGTCACTTTTGCTGCTTTAAAAATGACACAATTTTTTCTGTGCAGATTAAAGGAACATCCTTGGATTTGCACAAAGTATCAGTTAAAGCAACAGAAAAGAAAACAACATAGTACATTTCCCCATCAAAATACAAAATAGATTTGTATTTTAATGGGAAAATATATCATGGTGTTTTAATTTTTTTAGACAAAAAAAATGGTAAAAGAAACATAGCTCTCCAAATATATTTGAATGTTCAGATATATTTTTCATATTGAGCAACAGATTGACACGTTGATATTTTTTTTTGTATTATACATTTTGAATATTGGATAAACCTCAATCTGAAACCAGACTCTCTTATCAGCTTTAACTAGTAAAGATGGCCGTAGATGGTTTTTTTTTTTTTTTTTTGTGTGTGTTCAGGAGGCCAGAATGGAAAAAAACCCAAACAAACAAATTCCTCCATCCGCCTCACTTGTCTCTCCTGCAGTCACTGATTGAGAAAAATTTTACAACATGTCCCTTTGAGAGAGGTCAATCAAACAACTGACTTCTGTTGAACCCTATCCCTGCTGAACAAGCCAAATTTTGATCAGGGTATGGCCAGCTTTTTTGAGTGACAAGTTCACTTTGCAGCAGTTAACTGCACAGTCAGAGGGCTCAGAATTCATAGCACTCCAAGCTATTTTTATAAATGTAGATTTGAAGGTTTATGGTGAAATAAATCAACAACGAAGTCGTAACTGTAGGTAAACAATTACCGGGTCACTTTGATATTCTCGGCTGTACAGTTCATGACAGTTGTTGAAGATGTATTCATAAGTAGAGTTGAGACAAGCTTTCACACAGTCTTTCACTACCTGGCTTGCCCTGGGGGGACTCTGTAACTCTTGCACCTGCAAAATAGATAGTTAGATAAACATTTTAGGTACTAAAATGAAATCATAATAAGATAAATATAAATATATAAAATAATAATATATAAATATGTAAAGCTTTGTTTTACAAAAGAGGATTTTTTTGCCCTCTTTGCCAGCAGTACATCTGACGGCAGAGGATCATATCTTCTACATATGGGTATAACTGCCACCTCAAAGACGTTGGACACTAGGCAAACCAAAGGTCACAGCCCGGTCTAATAGCTACACCCCTGCATGTACAGCACAAGATCAGGAGCAATGGAAGTTAACCTTCCTTAGAACATCTAACTGTAAAAGTATCTTCACTGAAAATCTAATATAACTGAATGTCACTTACTAGTCTATTTATAATGTTTTCACATAAGATTTACACAATTTTCACCCAGAATTCACAGATTTTTTCCAGTTAGAAAATGTGTAAACCTTGGGTGGAAGCTGTGTTTCTTGCTAAAGCACAGAAACGATTTTTTAACAATAAATTACCACCACTTCACTTTTAAATCCTTTGTTGCATATGCAGCCTCTTGGTAGACTTTTCTTTTCTAGACAAATACACTCCAGCAATTGTAATATGTAATTTCTCAGGATCATCTGATGTTGATAATAGTGGAATATGAATTAAAATCAAATACTGGTGAAGCGCTTCCAATATGACATAACAAATCAAATAGCATATATATATATATATATATATATATATATATATATAAATAGTGGAATATGCCTAGTGCATCAGCAACTTGTAGTCTCCTTTAGTAGCACATGTGACAGTGACAACACCAGTGAACCAACTGAGATGGAAATAGAGTGTTGTCATCTTATAACAGGAAGTGCCTGCACACAGACCTTTTCATGGAAAGATCACCAGATATTATTTTAATGAAAGCTGCAGATTTAAAAAAAGTAAAAATGACTTTTAACATCTTAACCACTTGAGAACCAGCCCTTAATGTTCTTTCATTACAAGGCTATTTTTACAGTTTTCAGAGCTGTGATAGGTTGACCAACAATAACTCCCTCATGCAACGCTATATCCAAATAAGTTTTATATCAGTTTTTTTAGACAGATATAGCAAGAAAATGACTTAAAATTTTGAAAAATAAACTGTTTCCCTTGCTTTCTGTTGAAAAAAATGCCAGATTAGTAAGAAAACCCATTGTAATTATCATTTTTTGAAAAGCAGACAACTCAAGGCAATTAAATTTTTTGGCACAATTTTTTGGAAATGAGGAAACATGCTAGTACTGAGGGGGTTATGCACAGAGCTTGAGAGTGGTGCAAAAGATATATTCAATGTACAGGTCAGACACAAAAAAGGAGGAGGCAGTGAAGGAGTTAATGTATTGGTCACATACAGTGACAGGATTGGAGCTAATATGTGAAAGAAGGGGGCCTGAAAGGGTTAAAAAAACCATAAAGATCCCTGATCCGATTATTCTGTGTGTGTTTATAAGTACTGATCTCTCACTTTCCCCTGTTGTAAGGGGAAAGGGAGGAATCAACACTGTAAACAGAATCATGTGATCACTGTAATGACCAATCACAAAGACCACAAGGTACCCAGCCCCTCAGATTGACTAACTACAGTGTCTCTGTGTACCCAGCCATCTATTGACGGCTGGGTACATGGTACTTACCCGGGGGATTGGTTGCCCAATTGCTATTTATCCAGTGCTGTTCATAAATGGCACTGGGTAAATAAAGGGTCGACGATCTTCTATTGAAAAATGTACAACTGTACATAAGTGATGTAAGCCTTAATTGGAATTTTTGTGATTGGATTTACATTTAATGTATTTAGAAAACTCATGGGCTCCAAATGACTGTCAATACAAATCTTAGGCTGAAAATGCAGTAAAATACAAGGATTTCATTTAGGAAGGGTTGGGAAAGAGGCTGTCTGGCTACACATATTTTTAAATATTTTCTTGATGTACTGCAGAAGTGTCTAGCCTGTGCAAAAACACAAAATCACAAACTTACTTACTTACTGTTGATTTTTTAGGGATTTTTTTCTAAATGAGTTTGTACTTAGCAAACACATGAAAGCGTCTCTTTACTTGACTTTTGTAAGTTTTATCTTTCCAAGGAAAAATCTCCCACTTATCACAATCATGCCTTATTCATGTCAACAGTTTTTGGCAGCACCGATTTTTGCGAGCAACTATTTTCAAGGATGAAGCACACAAACAGCAAAATCTGAACCAAAGTATCTGATGAGCACCTTGAGAATTCACTGAGAATTGCTACTTCATCCATTGAACCACATATTGATGTGTTAGTTTATCAGAAACAGTGTCAAATATCGCATTCGTTTTATGTTGCCGTCCTTTAATTAATTTAATAAAAAATTTACAAATAAATTAGGTTTTATTACTCAGATAGGTATATTATCTATGTCAGTGACCGTTAACTTGTGATCTGCCTTACTTTCTGCTCATCAGCTATCCTTATTGTTAGTGTATTTTATGTGTGGCTCACGACCATTCCTTTTCTTCCAATGTGGCCCAGGAAAGTCAAAAGGTTGGAGATCCTGATGTACTGGGTCCATTTGATCCTTTGCTGTTGTAGACAAGCATCAAGAACACAGTACTTTGAAAACATTTTTGATATCTGACAGCAAATGAATACATTAATGGGTCACTTAATAAGTTTATGTAATAATAAATCATTTTATGAAATTAATTATTATGCCAAATGATTGTGTTCACCTTCATTCTGAAAAATGTAATACTGGTTAGTAGATCGACGGTGGATTTCAAATCTTGAAGTCTTTCTGGACTGCTAGCAGGAAAGTTGTTCTGTCAAAACAAAAAACAGAGAAATAACAAGGTTAAAACATGTACTAACCATTTGTATAATCTGAAAATTTCATCTGTGTTGTTAAAGAAGCAGTATGCCAGTTACAGTGCTCCTTGGCATCTTCTAAACATGAAAAGGTTATTTACTAAAACTGCAGAGTGGAAAATCTGGTGCAGCTCTGCATAGAAACCAATCAGCTTCCAGGTTTTATTGCCAAATCTAAATTGAAGAATCTGATTGGCTACCAAGCACAGCTGCACCAGATTGTGAATGCTCCTGTTAAGTAAATTCCCTCCAAAGACATGATAGTTACATCCTGCCTGTATGTTCTGAAATACAATTTCTTGCATGTAGTGTTTTATATAAATTGTGTCACTACTTATGTCTTATAATGGGATTCTGCTATGGAAACCATGCACATCACATACAGCAAGTAGGAGGAAGCGAGGCTTAGCTTCAAGCAATTCAGAAGTCCTGAAAATCAATCAGAGGATTATAAATGGTACCACAAGTTGTCTGCACTTTTTTAGAGTGTGAATAAACACATTGGCTCCCACTGCTGTCAATAACAACCAGTGAGTCAGGGAGGAGAGAGTGGGGGGGCAGAGCCGAACAGCTGCTCTATGTGTGAATGGACACACAGAGCAGTGGCTTGGGAGAGAGCCTGCTTGGGTGCCTTCATAGCAAGCTGCTTGTTCAGGGAGGAGGGAGGAGCAGAAGGGAGGACCCAGGAGCACCATCAGGGGATCCAAGAAGAGGTGGATTCGGGCTGCTATGTTCAAAACCACTGAACAGGTAAGAATGACATGTTTGTTATTTATTTTTTTATTGCCTTAATATCACTTTAATTCTGTCATAGGTCAGCAGCCTCCATATTTCTCTCTTGGCAAGCTTCCTTTAAGCACAGTCCAAATATAAACAAAATAAATATATGTGAGCGCACACAAAGAATAAAGCAGCTGTGCACCAGGTAACCATAAAAAACCTCTAAACAGACAATGTAAATAAGGAGTGCAGCGCTAAAAGGAAATCACAATATGAGTATTCAAATGTATATACACCATTAAATATACAGTTCATTAGGTGACTTGAAGTGACTTGAGGTGCTCCAATGTAACTGTATCCTCTTATGGGTAAGGTGCTGTGATGTTAAGTGCGAAAAGAATGCGCACTCACCAGAATGCGCAATTAAATGAGCCTTTGTGTATATTTCCTGATGTCATCTGCCAATCTGGAAAGTATCTAGAATCCGGTAGACTCCCTCATATGGTCGTGATCACCAGCTGCTCCTGGCGTGCCAATTTTTCCCTCCTTTAGCTATATACAGCAGGTTTCTGTGCCTGTGATGTCACCTCACAGGCACAGGCACAGAAACCTGCTGTATATAGCTAAAGGAGGGAAAAATTGGCACGCCAGGAGCAGCTGGTGATCAAGACCATATGAGGGAGTCTACCGGATTCTAGATACTTTACAGATTGGCAGATGACATCAGGAAATATACACAAACGCTCATTTAATTGCGCGTTCTGGTGTGTGCGCATTCTTTTCGCACTTAGTATCACAGCACCTTACCCATGGGAGGATACAGTTACATTGGAGCACCTCAAGTCACTTCAAGTCACCTAATGAACTGTATATTTAATGGTGTATATACATTTGAATACTCACATTGTGATTTCCTTTTAGCGCTGCACTCCTTATTTACACAGTCCACATATGTCACAGTACAAATATGAAACTAGAACAGGAGCCTTTATTAAATCTACAGCATAGAAAAACATATCACATTTGCACAAATATATATCTGCAGGAAGGTACTGTTTTCTTACCCGGTACATGGAGAGATCGATACGCAAGGAGTTGTGCAGTTGATCTAGCAGCTTTACAAATCTTTCCTTCTGTTAAAGCAAAAAGAAGAGAGCACTGAATTTTATTGCAATTATGGCATAGATGTAACTATCATAAAAATGTACATTAACATAAATAAATCATCACATAAATGCCAATTCACAAATTCACATAATGCATGAGTTATTTGTTAATTTTTACTATTGACTTTCTTCTTTTTCATTTCACTAAAGGTTTTTTTTGCAAGGATCTGCTGAATGCACTGTAGCTTTCATTGATAGTTCAGCTGAAAAAACACAAGTCCATGAAGTTCTAGTATAAGAAAAAGGTGACGCTACTACACTATATTGCAGATACTTAGACTAATACCAAATATTGGATGTGATAGTGACCTAAAAGTAAGTTAAAAAATGGGGTACACCACTAACAGCATTCAGAGCATAAATCATTATTAATCGTGTTTCTCTGAATTTTCTAGGCCTATATCTCTTAACTTATACAGTAGCAATCTGTGGGGAATCATGTCAAGCGTTTTAGTAATGTCGAAGTATTCTATATTTATAGCCACCCCTTTGTCTATGTCACAGCTTCCCCATTAAAAAAAAGTATTTGACAAATTCAGTCTTTCATAAATCAATGCTGGCTATTTCTTATGATACTGTTTTTCAGTAGATAGTCATTTGGCAAGTCCTGAGATATCTTCTGAGCCATCTAAGTCTGCTTAATACTGGAGTATCTGAACATAGTTAAACAATTAACTTATCAGTATGCACATCCACATGTAACCACCCATTATACCATCACACATACCATTAATTAGATTATCTTACACACTCACTTTTAGGTCTCTTCTTACACAGACACCACTAACTTTTCTGTTTACCCCATACCTCCAAAAAATAGTACAACCAGGTGTATTAACATCCTGATTGTGTGAACAATCAAGCCCAGATTCTGAAATACCAATCACAGTATTCCCCATGCATTAAAACGTTTGATTTCACATTTTTTTCATCAGACTTCTGAGCAGACATGTTCACCTACTATTACAAATTTGCACAGACAATATAATTTCCAATAAACCCTTGTAAAAACAGCACTGCTCTTGATTCTGTAATGATGGACTCTCAGCTGTTTTCCAGTAGAACACCTCTGAGGTAATAACTGACCTGCCTAATCAAAATCCTCTCTGTGGGCTTGTTCACATGAGCAGCCAAGAGGCAGTAAAAGCAGGTGGATCAGCCATGGTTTTACCACTCCCCAACCATGCACCTAAACAAGCACATGCAGCCTTCCACCACCCATGGAAAAGCAATCTATCACAGATTGTATTTCAGAGGGGCAGCAAGGGCTGTCGTATGTCTGAATGAGCTCTATATCATCTGCCACTAAAAATCTATCAGCATGTCTGAATGAGCCCTATATCATCTGCCACTAACAAATCTATCAACCTACTTCTCCACTGATCACCTCTAAAATGTTCCAGCTAGTAACTACTTCATTACAAGGTTGTCTCAAAGCTGTTGCTCAGTGTTCTCTCTTGCTAAATTTGCAGAGCACATGACTAGACAGCAAGGGGTTTATTTACTAAACCTGGTTGACTCAGAATCTTGTCCACTTCTGCATAAAAACCAATCAGCTTCCAGGTTTTATTGCTGAAGCTTAACTGAACATGCTGAGGTTAGAAACTGATTGGCTACCATGCACAGGTGCCCAAGATTCTGAGTCAACCAGGTTTAGTAAATAATCCCCCAAGAGTCAATAGTCTTGCTCATGTTTGTAACTAGTCTGCAGCCAATTGTAATAAAGCAAAATAATTTATGTGCTTATTATACTACAAAATAGCAGAAAAGTATCTTACCCCAAAGTTTGAGGCAGAGAAGCGATCAGAGGCAGACACATTGGTTGATGCAGTTGTGTGGGCATAGTAGGCATTGATATTGGCGAGAAGTGTGCTCATAACAGCTGGTACTCCAGGACACATATATTTGGAAGATAGGCAGGCAAAATGACTGTAAAACAAGAACACAAAAGTAAATGATAATTGCCCTATATTACAATGATCACAAATTGGGACCTTGGTGCATGTAGTTATATTTTTAACTTACATTTTGCAAACTGGAAGTTTATAACACTTTCTCAATGGCTACCTATTACTGCAAAACAGAAACCTCCATACCTGCTTTACCTAACTATTCTAGTCAATTTAAATATGCTGCAGCCTTGGCTCCTAATTTGCTAACATAAGATTCCAATCAGGGGCTTATATTAATTTTCTGTGTCTAAAGACACAAGCAAACACCTGGAATTTCATGGAGTGGGTTGGGTAATATGATTGTGCAGTAGGGGAAACCTTAACAAAGTTTTCTCAGTGTCAAAAGTCCTTTGTCCTCTACTATATGATAAAGACAAGAACATTTCACCACAAAGATGTTTCTCTTTCCAGATTATTCTTAAATCAGTGTTAGTAGACATACTAATTGGGAAACCTCCTAAGTTAAGAAGGTGAAGGAGATAGACAAAAGACAGTGAACAGATGCATAATTATAGGTGATAAAAACATGACTTTGTAAAACACTGTTGTGAATACTAGGTGGCATCACAGCAGGTTCATATGACAATTTTACATTGGGAGATATAAAAGCCCTTATTTATTGTTAGAAGTCAAATATCAGGTTAGACGCAACAAACAGGCTACATTTGTCTTGTCTACAGCTGGCATGCACATGAAAATACTCAATCCATTGAATTGTAATTGGCTGTTCTACACATGAGAACCATGTAAGAGAAGTGCCTGACTTATTGTACTGAGCAGACCCTTACCTTCTCTTCTGAAGTACCCTGCCAACACTCCTTAGCCCTTCTTCTTATGAGTGCGCGACAGACCCAAGGCCATGGTCAGTAGGCAAGAGGCTAGCCTGCAGTCCCCTCCAAAAGCCCCTATCTCAGTTTGGGTCTGTAACAAGTGACCCCTCAGCAAGCCTTCTGAGGGGATACCCGTGCAGGTGTGCTCCCTTCTGACAAGATTTGACTGGCAGCAGCAGGAGCCAATACCTCCCGCTGTTGCCTGTGTGTCCTGTGAGAAGAGGAAGAGAGGACAGTGGTGCTGCAGACAGGAAAGCATTGGATCGAAAGAGGAGTCAGGTAAATGTTTAGGCACATGATAGGGGAAACTACTGTTGAAGCAGTTTTTACCTTAATGCAGAGAAAGGCATTAGGCTACTTTCACACTGAGGAGTTTTTGAAGCGTTTTTGCGTAAAAAAAAGAGCCTGAAAAGCTCAAGAAAAATGCTTTCCTATGTATCTGAATGTATATCTATGTATATTTTCACACTGGGGCATTGTGCTTGCGTTCTGGTGTAAAAACTCCTGCTTGCAGCATCTTTGGGGCATGTTTGGTGAGTTAAAAAAAATCCCAAAAACGCCTCTTCCCATTGAAATCAATGGAAAACACCTGAAAAATGCCTAAAAACACCTGAAAAGGGCCAGAAAAAGTGAGTCAAAAACACCTCCGAGAAGCTATTTTGGTGCAGTTTTTAAGTCACGTGTCCTAAAAAAAAACGCTCAGAAAGCACGGCAAAAGCGCAGTAAAAATGCCTATGCATTTTTGCTGTGTTTTTGTAGCAGATCAGTGTGAAAGTAGTCTTAAGGTAAAAAATTTCAGTACATGAGAAACCCCTTTAAAAACTTTCAGATGTTCTAATCCCTATCCACTCTGCAAGAACAAGGAAAACATTTTGCCTTTAGTTTTACTTTAATGTTTACTATAAAGCCTCATGCACACTAGATATTTTTACAGCTGCTCCTAGGGGAGTCTGACATTTTTTTTCCCTGCCTCTAAACTCCCCTGTATGTTAATCTATGTGTCCATGCACACATAAACCTTTGGAGGTGTTTACTGGCAGGAAAAAAAATCCACTGTCAAAGCATCTAGCATTTTGGCATTTAGCACTTGAGCGTTAATTTCAGTGGCCAGAATAAATTATTTATTAAGGCCAATGGAATGAATTAAAGCCCAGTGCTTAATGCGGGTATACACGTTACACACTTCTACAAGCAACAGCCATTTTTTTTCCAAAATGTTGCTGCCAGGAGGAGGCTAAAAGTTAAAAAAAAAAAAAAAAACATCCAGTATGCATGAGGCCTTAAAGTATTACTAAACCCACAACTGTAAAATCAGTCTGTATATGCAGTAAAGCATGCTTGATATACACACTGTGGAACCTAAGTGGTTACTCCTCTGCATTGTGTAAAAAGGATTTTTGATCCTTTCTTCTCTATTCCTCCCCTTCTTCCGTGTCCCCCTCTTATCTATTGATAAGACATATCGTATTGAGACACTCTGCACATATTCAGTTTGGAATGTGTTGCTTCGGAGAGTGCATGTGAACAGCACAGGGCCAATCAGCACTGTGCAGACAGAGGTCAGGGGTTCTGCATCCTCCTAGAGCAGAAAGAAAACTCCTCCTACAAGCTTTAACCAGTGCTCTGCTGAACACTGATAGAAGTGACAAAACTGCTCTAACTGCTGATGAGAAAGGGTATTTAGCAATTTATATTTACTAAAATAATTGCATTTCCATGTAGTGTGTACTGTGGGAGACCAGATACAGTGAATGCAGGGTCCTGAGTTTAGTAACACTTTATAGATTCAATTATTAGGCGATCAAATCAACTAACCTGTAATGAATCTAAATCAAAGCGCTACTGAAGAAACTCAACATTTGAAACTATCGAGTGTGTTGGATGCCTGGTCCTCTACTGCACTCTGTGGTTCATTCTGCCAAAGTTATGTCACTACTGCGTTCTACAGTAGCAATGAGGGAACCAGTATCTTACACTCCTGGAATTGTAAAATTCTTAGCATTTTTCAGTAAAAACTGAATCTTCAAAGAACCAGAGTTTTACTATGCAGGAGGCAGGACAAGTATTAATTGCTTTTCTTAGCAATATCCTAAGTTATTTAGTTATATTTATTTAAATAGAGACTGAGTCATTTAAAGAATTCTGCAGGAGTCAGGTATGTTGCTGTTAGATAATGAGTGTACAGTCTTATGTGGTAAATAAGACTCCCCTATCTTGCTGCTAAATGTGAAACACACAAAACATGAATGAGTCCTTTATCCTTTACTCTTTTTAACTAACAAATACATGTACAGTAATCTATTTTATGTCTATTTGCCCATGTTTAATTCAGTAATTGCAGTTTCTCACGTCATAGCCTGGTATATGGACTCCACTCCGTATCGCATTGCAAATTCATCCACAATTTCCTGGGCAGTCTCATCGAAGTAAACCTTCCAAGCATCATCCCCTTTGGCATCTGGAATTTTCACAACTCCATTATTCTGTACATCTGTTAGGTAGTGGAACAGGTTCTAGAGGTGAAAACAGAAAAAGTACCTTATAAATAGCAATCTTTAACATGTTATATCATCAATATTAATGATATTAGTTCAGAAGTTAAGAAATGGAACAGTATCCCTTTCTTACAAACCTCATGCAAACAGGTGTATTGTACATGATATGGTGCCACCTTCTCCTCTCCTTTGATCTCCACACTGATGTGTAGTCGAATTGCACCAGATACAGCAGACTTATCTGTACGCTTATCTGTAATAAAAAGTCATTTTGTCAGGAATTTTGTACCCTTACATAAAAACAAATCACATATCCAACTCTTCATGGTTACTGTATACACTCTGATTTACTTGGTGTATATGTGTGTCAGATGTAACTGTATGTGAACACAATACATGTATCTTGGTAGGTGAGAGGACTCAAGCAGAATGATCTTACCACTAAGTGCCTGGAAAGAATTTAGAAGCTACTAGGTTTGCTCCATTGTCTACCAATAACTGAACTATAAACTTTGGGGGTTACTGACCCTTGAAACAAACCTGCAGCAGTACCTGAGCAGAAGGTAACAATTCCTTCTCTGCAGGCATACTACTTTTCTCAGTAAAGTGGAGAAGAGCTTCTGTGGTTCAAACTGAAATGTGTAAAACTGCTAATTTGTGGTCTGAAGCACAGGGAAGCATAATGTTGTCTAGGATTCACTTTTTAGGACAAAAAGTTTGTGGAGCATTTACCTGGTATTTCAAAATTGTTCATTCACTAAGAAAATGCAACCATTAATATTTCAATTTTACAGTATGTTATTACCTAGATTGTACCATACATCCATCTCTCCACTCAGAGTTCGGACTTCAATGATGGTTTGGCCCAAGAAATCGTCGGACTCACGCTTAAATCTTTGCTTCACTCTCGATTTTATGTCATCATCCTCATCCCAAACACGGACTTTGATTCGATCTGAAGAGTTATGACACTCACTGGAAATTAAAAATATTGTCATGCCACCAATCCAAAAAATTGGACACACATTAAAATACAACAATAATTTGCAACAGCAGTAAAACATATCAATTAGTCAGTAACAACAATATTTGACTGTTTTGAAAGCTCTAAATTGATGAAAACAAAAATCAAATCTAACAACTTGCTTTCAAATACTGTACTTTACACACCTTTATTATGTTTTACACACAAACAATCTTCCGTTGCTAGATTACCAACTGGCATATGCAGTAATTTAATGAAAGAAAGTGCTCTTCTATTCTGGTCACATATGGAATAATACATTGCTTTAGTTAAGGTGTAAACTTACAAATGAAAATTCTCTTCCCAGACTGGATTAAGGTTTCCATAGATAGTTTTAGTTCTTTTCTTTGTTTTCCCAACCTGCACAGTAACATAGGGGTCACTGGAACCTGTCTTGTCCTTGGCTTGTAGACCTTGTGCACATACCACTGTAATACACCAAGCAAAGCAAAATACATTTACATTTGGTTAAATATGTTAAACAGTTTAAATTATGCCTTCTATACAGTATGTTTGGGGAACAAAAATATCTTCCATGTGGCTAGCCCTATTTTAACTAACCTTACAAGCTTCAAATCTTAAAGCATATCTAAACTCAAGAACAAAAATTTAATAACTAATCCTCAAATGTGGTGGATGCATTCATTTTCTATTTTAAGGCTTGTCCTCCTTTTATTTTCACATGGTGATCCTGACAGTAACATACTTCTTGTTTTTGGGTGACAACACTCACTCATCTTACTGTATCTAGAGAGGAGTCAGCCTAGGACAAAACTACAAAACACCACACCCTCTCCTCTTCCACATAAGACAGATGGAGGCAACAGAGAGAGAGCTGAGAGCAATGTAAAAGTTCACCACAGGAAGAGAAAACAAGAAGCTATCAGCTAAAAACATTTCCTAGCAAGATCAGCAGGGATCATTTTGCACACAAGATGCTTTCAATTTTAACTTTAACAGACCAAAAGGTATCAGATAAGAAAAGCTTATTGTTTAAAGTCTACAGTCAATGAAAAACAAATATATAATATTGTTACCAAGAAAATAATCTAATTTTTAGCAACTGTGGAAATGGAAAGGTAACTAAAATACTACAAGCAATGTTAGTGAATAATCTTCTAATTATTAGTAAATTAAGTATTTACAGTTTATTACATAGTTAAAGTATTAGCGAATTATCGTCTAATATTTATTGTCTTTTTTATTATTGTTGTTGGTATGCTCATGAATTTATGATGATATAACAAGGAAACAGAGTAAGTTCATCAAGTTCAATTTTCAATGTAAAATTTCTGTTGTGGAAATAAAAATCCTTGTCCTTATCACCCTCAAAGTCCTTCTTGCCCTTATCAACCTTTTTCTAATAATTCTAACTGGAGGTGTCATCCCTATTCAAGATAACATCCAATCCATTTTCATATACTGTAGGTCAAAACCTTAGCTGGCAGAGGATTCTAAATGTTTTATCTTCAGGCACAAACAGATGTTCCATTTTCTGTACAGTCCTACTTCTTAAAAACTCCTCACACAACTATTTATACTGTGACTTCTAAAATATTCTTTACAAAAAATACATTATTTATATCTTGTATGAGGTACCCTATTCCCAGCGAAAACAAAACCAGTTGAAGTAATGTTTTGGTATTCTCAATTTTTTAACAGATAGGGATGTACTGTTTCTGAACACTCATATATAAGTGAATTGATGCACCAGTTCAATTTACTGTTATCCCCCTATCCTCCTGAAGCAGTGGGGTCATCTCACAAAAAGTGTTGAGGAATCAAGTTCCCTAGGACAATCAAATAAGATAAATATTATTGCTGACATTGATTGACAAGGATTATCCAAAACCACTAGCAGATATATGCTATTAACATTTACTGTATAAGTAAGAATGCCAAGGGATTCTGCATGCGGAAGAAGTCACACAACCCTTTTGGGGTTTCTTTTAACATGGTTTATGTTATGTGTAAAATTATTTTAACAGATACAGTATATCAATACATTTGTACAAATTTTAAGATTATGTATGTGTAGTCCTTGGGCACCTAAAAAGTCTATTCTCAATTGTAGGGTTTACAATTTATTATAATTGGCAAGTGGTTCCCCTTGCACATAAACCACCAAAGAAATTTATGGGCTCAAAACTGTAATGAGTATTCTAGATGAGGACTGAGAATGATTTTGCGTAAAACCCTGCTTTTCATTTTGCTCCTGTTCCCTTTTAATGCAGCAATGGCTTTTGTTAGCCTTTGCAGCACCTGCTCATCTACCCCTGTAGCCAAATTCTTTTGTGTCTAATTTAAAAAAGTTTATTTTTTATTTTGTAGAGTGTATCTACATTTTACAAAGTGAAAGTCAGCGATGTTCATTTTGAACCCAATCTTGTTTCAACATCCCAACTGTTTCAAATTTCCCTTGCATATGGTTGGGTAATTAAAGCAAATAAAGATTCCCTTTATTTACTTTTCAAGATGAACATTCACTTTGCTAGGTGAGCAGCCTTTGTTCCCTTAGTAAATCAACCCCATTACATGAAGCAGGGGATTAGGGAGTATATAATGTACAGCACAGTTGGCAGAATGATTTTATTGGGTGTATAATGTAAGGCATCCAGCAAAATTCAAGTGGTGTGAACTACGTAACATACAACACAGAGTGGTTTACATAATGTACAGTATGTGGAGTACGTAATATATATAAAGTAATAAGTAAATCAACTCCAATATGCTTGATATCATATACTCTCCAGCTCCACATTGTAATGTCTTATATCCTTTATATAGCTGAACCACATCCCCGCCACACTATAGCAGATAAAATGCTACAGGGCGGCAGGGGTGCACAAAATCACGTATATATACGTGATTTTGCATTCCTGGGTAGGGGGCACAAGTGAACCGCCCGCATGCCCTACCAGCACCGCCATTCGAGGCCACGGCTGTCAATCACCGGGTCCCAGCCAGTGATTACCCGCCAGAGCCCGGTGATTACCGAGGATCTCCGGCAGGGAGGAGGGCTGCTTTGTTTACTAACAATTCTCCTCCCTGTCAGCTCGCGCACAGTGCTCTGGATGGCTGTGCACAGCACAGCCAACCAGAGCAGTGTGAGAACAGTAAAGCACACAGACACCGTCCCCTATTAAAACACTCCCTGCACAAAGTTAACTGTTTGATCGCCCCTCATGTTAACCCCTTCCTGCCCAAAGCCATTAGTATAGTGTCAGTGCTTTTTTTTAGCACTGATCACTGTATTGGTGTCAATGGGGATGTCAGTGACAAGTCAGTTCCCGCCAGTGTCAGAATGCCTGCTGCAGTCCTACTATAAGTCACTGATTGCCACCATTATTAGTAAAAAAAAAATTCCAGTATCTATACTGCCATTTGTAAACACTATAACCAATTAATTTACACGTATTGGGATTTTCTTTAGCAAAGACATGTAGCAGAATACATTGCAGTGCCATAACGCAAAAAATGGCGGTCAGGAAGGGGGGTAAATCCTCAGGAGGGCAAGTGGTTAAGGAAGACATTTTTTCAAGGACACTGAAACAAATATGTTTATAAACTCTCCCACCTACCAGTGATGCTGATCTTTGCTGACCACTTGGATGTACCATCTAGTACACTCTGTTTTACAGCTTTGATTTGATGAGCATGTGTGGCTTTGGGAACTCCAAAAACTTCTTGAATGAGTTCAAAAATCTCTGGCTTGTTTCTTTCACGGATTTTCATTCGATCTTTCAGAACCATGATAATATTATGTGTGCGATCTTCTGCCCCGTGCTTTGAGCTCTTCTCTGCTGCTCCTGTTAAGATTTAACACATTAAATATAACTGATAACTTTCAGAATAAAATATTAGGGATTAACTGAAGCCACATCTTCCTGGATCATGTTTTAAAATACAGAAATTGATTAATCAACTATGACTGGCAGGTGAATATCACATCTATAAATATGGAAAGCCTCCCATGGAAAGTTGACCAAATTATGGCAAACACATTTTAATATATAAAACAACAACAAGACAGAGAACACACCTGCATAATAATAATTTAATGAATGAAAACTTAATAATAAAATGCACCTACAAGAGAAAGTGTAAAGTATCTGTGGCCTGGAGTAGTTCCCCAAAGTCTAGTTCAAAAGAACACTCAAACGTGGCCAGTAATTGGGGTAGGAACAGAAGTTATCCTAGAATTGGCTCAGTGAAGTGTTCTGAGGCAGAGAGGTGATGACGTTCCTGACAAAGTAGGTCAAATAATGGAGTGGTGGTCACAGTGGCGCATTTTGGGGTGGATCCCCTTTGTCAAGCCTAGTGATCACAGTGTCAATGTAAATTTAAAACATGAGACAGGTTCTCTTTAAGGAAATACCAGGGGTCTATTAGGTAAAGCACAGGCTGTGCCCATTAATCCTCTACCCTGGCCAGGGAAGCCAGGGTTTGACAGTGCTGAACCTTCCAATTTTAGAACCAACCACGCTTGTTAGAAGAAATCATTATATCAAATCTTGCAGATGGCAAATAGGGAAACACGAGAAAAAAAAGGGAAAAAAGACCCATAAGTTAAAATATCGGTTTACAAAATCCCCTTATTTCTGATGGTGACCAGAAACACAATTCAGTTTTACTAAAAAAAAACCCAAAACACTATAAGTACATAGAAGACTTACGCTGTAGGCAGTCTGCATTTAAGAGGTCCTGGCATTTTTCATGGCACTTAACTCCACATTCTGTGCAGCGCATACCCTGACGGGCAATCCCCCACAAAAGCCCTTCACACTCGTAACAATAAGTAGGGGTCGTGGCAGTCCACACCTCGAAATTGTGAGGAGTTGTGCTGGAAATTGGATAAATTAAAGCTTGCAGGGCCTTCTTGTAAACATGATTTTTCTGGTTAAAAAAAAAAAAAGGAAAAAAAATCTTTGATGTTAGCACAAAAAACTACACCAGTAACAATTGTTTGGTTCTAATTTAAAGTACTTACTAGCTCTTCATTGTTTAAAGTGCTTGTTGCAAGTGCAGATGTTATGCCTGCTTTTCGAGATTGTACCAAGGACTGGAAAAAAAAAAGACAAGTAATGTAATAAATAATAAACAATAATTTAATAGAAAAATACATTTTTTTAGAACAAATTTTCCATTAAAATTACTTCTAAACGGAAACAATTTAAAAATGACCTTTGAAACCAAACATATTTTGAAGTTCTTGCAGATTTTTTCAGATATAACATCTTCAAAAATACTATTATTATACAGGATTTACAGTATATAGCGCCAACAGTTTGTACAGCACTTACAATATAAAGGGGCACAGTAAAATTACAATGCAATTCAAAACAGAAGGAATAGGAGGGTTCTGCACATGGAGCTTGGAAGGGGCAAATTCTGGAAATGTTGGAGGTTAAGGCAGCAAGATTTAGCCAGTGATTGGATGTGGGGCTCGAAGGACAGGCCAATTTAGGATTACACCTAGCTCCCTGTCATGTACAGAGGGACCAATGGTTGTGCATTGATCTCAATGGTAAAGTCGTGAAGAAGGGGGATCGGGGAGGAAGAAATAAATGTTTGACTTCAAAAAGAGCCTTTTGTCTTACAGGGAAAAAATAATTGCTTATTGTTATCATATACACTAGCACACGTGTCTGGACAGAATTAAATGACCCAGAATTTTGTATTTGCAAAGCAATTTGTAGGCAAATTTTGCATATGCTTCATGAGTTTAGGCTAGCACTGCAATGTTCATTTTCAGACAATTTTTTTTTTACATTTTGAACAGAGAATATGGGTTTTCCATGTTCCCATCTGGTGACCATATAGGATAAGGAAGAAAATCTCAATAGAATCGCAAACAGCAATAAACCTCTGACAGAGTCTCTAAACCTTTTCCATTCTTACAAAAAAAAAAAAGAAAACACATTTATTGCTGTTTGTGTTGCTTACCAAGAGGTTCCCCTTTACTTCCTGGTCTGGTGATCACATGGTAAAACTGTAGAAATCTCACAAGCGGGACAGGCTTAAAAACCCCATTTTATCCAGATTTCTTTTTTTTTTTTACAGTCTTAGTTTAAAGAGTAACTGCACTTTTGTTGAGCAAAAAAACATTCCCTTCTGGGTGATTTATATATATTTGCAAGAATTTGAACAAATTTTGTTGCAGATTCCTACATTTTGTCATTCTGAAGAAATAGCTATTTGTTTGTCTGTGTCGAAGTGCAAAATTAATGTGAATGGGAGTGACTTTATAATTATCAATCAACTGCCGTACTTACAGGGATTATCTATAGTAAAGAACAACCGTGCAGTTGCCCTACTGTAAAACCTTTATTAAATAAAAATGAATGCAATAAGTTGCACTCACAAGATAAAGGAATTGCAGGCCTATTTGACATGTATGGGTCACCCCGCTCCAATATCCAATTCCACTCTAGTGTGTAAATGTTCAATTGTGTGATGAATAAAAAGCCTAAAGCCTAAAAGGCTCAGAAACACACAGATTACTTGGTCCCACAGGCACTGACAGGCAGAACGTGTAGTGCCAACTTCGCATGCGCCTGGCTCTACGCTAGGCCAGGGCCACTCATAACAACCAGGAAGGACCAGACAGCAAGAGAAAGACAGGAAGTGTACTTAAATTGCCAGGTCCTGACTAGTGCCTTTTTCAGCTTTTTAATTTTTTGCACTTACAGGAAAGTGGCAGCATCTGCATCCCTTTAAACGTGATTTCCCATTGGCACTATTTCACCAAAAATTTAATTTTTGTTGCAGAGGATACATAAAATCTGACTTGTATCTTAGTGTAGACTTCTGGGAAAAATCAGTAAGCCAATCACACAAGCAGGAAATTACATGTCTGGGGAGGGGGGTGTTCTGTACAACATCTGTGAATGCTTTCAGGTCGCCATATTGCATTGCATTTTACAGAAAATTACAGTGGCTACAGATTAAAAAGGAAAAGTATTTGTTAATAATATTCAATACAATATGACTTGTGTACCAATTGTATGCTATATTTTTTTTTATTTGTTATTTTTTTCCCACGACAGTGGAGATACCCTTTAAGTTCCACTTTACAAACTCAAAGGTCAGGTTTATTGAGTGAATATATTATTGATATTTTCAGTTTATTATAGAATTCCAAAATGGAATTACTACAGCCAAACAATAACAGTGTTTTCCAGTATAGGCATTTTGGGGTCCATACAGTTTAATTGTATAATAGCATCTTACAGAATGTGCAATCCCTTTAGACACATGTTTTAAGTTGAACTGTACAAACTGAACTACTTGGGAGTGGAGGAAGAGAAATGGCATGACTACCATTAGAGGAAACTGCAAAAAAAAACCCTTAATTTGTAGAAGGCCACAGTGAACTGTTGGCAGAGGGGTAATTTACTGTGCATGCAAGTATCTTCCTGTGCATGTGCAAAATTTCAGGCTTCGGCTTGCATACCAGATTCCATGTACTGGTGCTTGAAAAAGACATATGCTTCCTTTTAGCTACATCAACAAGGGTAAGGGTTTTTTTGACATGCCTGGTACATGCACATTTCATTGCCACATTAAATGAAGCCACATTAGTGTTTGCTTTTTTCATTGTTAAGTAAAATGTCCATCTGCATATTGGAGACTTCTGGGAACATAGGGCACATAAACAGCATAATTTGAATGTTCAATATGCACAGCAAACTAGGGCCAACCCCAAAACATCAGTGTACAATCAGCTACATTCAGGGATCACAATCTCTCTGTGCGTCTACATTTGCTACATCTCCTCAATGGAAACGTATTGTAATTGTTTATCCCTGTTCTTGTTCATTTGCTTTCATCAATCGGCATCAGCATGTCTCTGTAAATCTTAAATGCTAAAGAAAATATAATGAAATATAAATTACCATTGCCTTTACAAATGGGGAAAGCATGGAATAAAAAAATGAGAAAAAAGGTTATTGAATTGAATAAAGAAAAAAAACAGCTTTAAAAGTATTTTTAGCTAAAACTCACCAAGTCGCTGACAAGAGGTATGGGCTTTCTCTTTCGTATGTCCGGCATACTGTCAATAATTATCAGACCACCAGCAGGCCTGACAGTGAGCATGGCAACAAGAACAAAGTGCATAAGATACTGAATAGGGTAAAAAAAGGTCAACTATTTTGTCATAATACATATGAAATGTTATTTCTACATAACAGAATGTACCTTGTTTGGTACATAACTTTGCAGCAGTATTTTTACTTTGTATTTTTAAACTTAAGTAAGTGCATTGAAAAGAAACAGGGTCAACTGGAAAAGGTACATGACTATTCAGAAGCTACATGAAGGCACCAATGGCTTCCATGATTTTCTTCACAAATCCTTACAGGATGTCTCCAATTTACAATCCTACCTCAATGCACTGTTTAATTGGGCAACTATGCGGCAAATGAGGTTTAATGTTGATAAATGTAAGGTTATGCACTTGGGGGCTAAGAATATGCATGCATCATACATACTAGGGGGGGTACAATTGGGGGAATCAATGGTGGAGAAGGATCTGGGAGTTCTGGTAGATCACAAGCTTAATAATGGCATGAAATGCCAAGCTGCAGTTTCTAAAGCAAGCAAAATCCTCTCTTGTATTAAAAGAGGTATAGACTCCAGAGAGAGAGAGATATCATATTCCCCCTGTACAAATCATTAGTAAGATCTCATCTGGAATATGCAGTTCAGTTTTGGGCACCAATTCACAAAAAGAACATTAGGAAACTTGAGAAAGTGCAGAGAAGGGCAACCAAACTGATAAGGAGGAGCAAAGCTATAAGGAAAGATTAGAGGAACTGAATTCATTCTCTCTTGAGAAGAGGAGATTAAGGGGGGATATGATCAACATGTATAAATACATCAGTGGTTCATATGGTGAACTCGGTGTAGAGTTATTCACCCTGAGGTCATCACAGAGGACAAGGGGGCACTCTTTACGTCTGGAGGAAAAGACATTTAATCTCCAAACACGGAAAGGTTTCTTCACAGTAAGAGCTGTTAAAATGTGCAATAGACTCCCTCAAGAGTTGGTTCTGGCCAGCTCAGTGGATTGCTTTAAAAAGGACCTGGATTATTTCTTGGATACACATAATATAACTGGATACTAACATTTATAGGTAAAGTTGATCCAGGGAATATCCGATTGCCTCTCGGGGGATCAGGAAGGAGGTTTTTTTTTTCCCTGCAGGAGCAAATTGGCTCATGCTGTGCTGGGTTTTTTGCCTTCCGCTGGATCAACTGTGGGTGTAGGATTATAACTTTTTTTTTTTTAATGGTTGAACTGGATGGACTCCACGAGATGAGATTTTTCATGGTGCACCAGGCCTAGGGAGATTGACAGTTGTTTTGTGTTTCTTCCAATTGTGAAGGATTGCACCAACTGTTGTCACCTTCTCACCAAGCTGTTTGGCGATAGTTTGGTAGCCCAGTCCAGCCTTGTGTAGGTCTACAATCTTTTCCCTGACATCCTTGGACAACTCTTGGGTCTTTTAATGATAGGGAATCAAGTACTTATTTCCCTCATGAACATGCAAATCAGTGCCTAATTTGTTAGACATGCATTTCTTTTGAATTTTTTGTTGCTATTCTGTCTCTCAGTGTTACAATACACCTACCATTCGATTTTTAGACTGATTATTTCTTTGTGAGTGGGACAACATTGAAAATCAACAGGGGATCAAATACTTATTTCCTTTACTGTACATACAGTATATACCATTCTTGTTTAAAAGAAAAGCACTATAAAACACCGCCACGTATATGTATGAATGTATAAGTATATTCATATTAAGAGCACAAATATTTTAGGAAATGACTTCAGTTGATAAAAAGCTGTCCTTTCACATACCCATCTTTAAACCACAGTGACTTTGACATATCTCCACTGCCTTCACCTCTCGCCTGCAAGAGAAAAAGTGAGCGTTTATGTGCTGAAATTTTATTTTAGAGGATAATAATTTGTGTGTTTGCATATATGCTAATTCACTGTTGCACATTTGGCCTAATTGTCAAACTCCAGCTTTCTGGTATCTTTCATATTGTAACACAGCAAAGTAATTCATTTTGTTCATTGTTACACAGAACTATAGACCCTCGAGAGGCTGTCTATGGGAAAATAGCTCTCAGCACGCATACAGCACAAGGAAGGCAGCGTACCAGCAGTGAAAAAAACTATTTCTTTAAAGCACTGAGTTGTCACCTGTGAGGAAATAATTTTTTGTTGGCTAAGCCACTGGGCTGATACGCTAAATGCTACTTTTCTTGTTGTCCATAGCAACCAATAAACTAACAATGATTCTGGCTGCTATGGGTATCAACATGTTTTACTGTTAGCACACGTATCACTCATCAGTCCCCATGTGTTAGCTATCTCTCCTCAACAGACTCAAGCAAAACACTAAAGTGTAATTCCAGTCAAAACATTTTTGTTAGCTCAGGAAGGCTAAAGTTTCTATTGGTGTCTAAGTTTCCACTAGGGAAGTAGTCCTTAATATCATCATGACTGGAAGTGAGGGGAAATCTCTTAATTTCAAAACTATTTTTTAGTAAAGCAGAGAAGCGTAAGATCCTCATTTGGGGAGATTTGCTTTATTTTGTATTCAAACAAACAAATGGACTGGACTGTGAGGAATCTTTATAACAGGAGAGGACAGAACAATAACCTACCTGATGGTGAGTACACAATAGTTTTTTTTTTTTATTTAACCCAGGAGGCTGAACAATAAAAAAAAACCTGAGAGATTGCCATACTAACACAAGCGATGTTAGTGCAGCATTATCCCCCGTTTTCCTCCACTTTGCCATTGTATTCTGACAGGGTGACCGACCCCCTGACAAAACACACTGATCAGCACTGACAGCTATTGGCAGCCAGCGCTGATCAGTTTCTGGTCAATTGCTGGTTTTCCAGCATGCCCATTCAACAGAAGTCGGTTGTAAGTTCCTGCTGGACCATCTGATTTCAGCAGTTTTTCAGCCTGTATGTACAAGGTTTAAGAATGTCCATACTGAAGAGTTTCCCTGGGATGGAAAGGTATGGAAACACAGTCAATGTGGATACAGAAACAAAAATAAATCTACTTTAATAGTTCCGAGGTAGCAACAAAGATAAATTAGGGCTTGTTGTTAATGAGCTTTTGTTTGTTAGAACTGCTTCTTTCCTCATACAGGTCTATAGGATTGCAAAAACAGGTGAAGCAGGCAAAATGCAGGCCAACAGTACCCACAATGAATTCTGAATAGTCTGAGAAGTATCTCAAACTGATGTGATGCCAAACGCAATCTGCATTTGCCTAATAAAGTCTGCCAACACAGATCCCAACTGTTGTCTTGTTACAGATGTATACAGTATAGATACTTTCTACAGCCTACCCTAAAACCAAACTTGTCAGGAAGGTGTAACTTAACAGTAATTAGTAATAGGGCTGTTGTAACATAGGTTACAAAACAAATATGGATAAGGGTACATAGAAGTAAATTACTTTTCTTGAATCACTTTTCATAAAGCAAAAGAAAACACACACATACATACATTGCAAATTGAGAATCAAATATTGTTATATTAAAATACACATACACAAACAAACACACTGCATATTAATAATGCATACAATAACAAAAGAAAATAGTGAATGATTTAAATGAAATTATAGAGGACATGAAATGCCATATAATGTTGTTATTAGTTATTGGTACAAAAAAATGTTGTCATACCAAAAACTCAGTTGCTTGAGCTTGGCAGATGGCAATTATTCACTAAATACAGGGACTTTTGCTTGATTGACTTTTTCACTAGCAATTATATACTTTTCCTCTAAGTAGTTTGGTAAAACTGGTAAACTTGGTAAAACATGGTAAAATTGGTAACCTGACAAATAGAAACTAAAGGCCAGCCACTAGAGGCTAAAATCTGTGTCCCTCGATGGGCTCTGAGAAATGGCTTTTACAGTGAATACAAAATCCTATTTACTCTATTATATTGTCTATTAAGGGGCACAGCTTGAATATAAATAAGCAATATAGGGACATCCAAAAGTAGTCCAGAGGGGCAGACACATCAAAACAACACAAGTGAACCAGCCCTAGAAGAAAAAATTCACAAGGGGAAATGGTGCATTAAACAGCTGTTTTAAGAAAAATACATGCAATTAAACAAAAATAGCATCCAGAAAGGTAGATATATTGACCTCAAAAAACCTGGAGAATATGTGAACAGAAGCCTTACAGATCTGATACACAGGAGTCTGACAATAAAAAGGTCAAGAAAGGGCCCTTTCTCATGGACATTCAGTCTAGAACAGAAAACGGATGTAAAAACTAATGTAAACTGAATCAGATTTTTCTTAGCAAAAACGTGACTGAACAAATGATGCCTGAGTGTGAAAGGACCCAACTACTCACTGCCCTAACAGGGTTGGCTTTAACGGTAAAGGAGGCACTTTATCACATAACTGATAGCAACACACAAAAACCTGGCAAAGCCACATAGAGATGTTAGAACTAGAAGCTGGAGGACCACTTTTCTGCCTAAAAGAAGCAGTGGCTGAGAGGTAAACCATATATGCCCTTACCACATCCAGGCAATGGAGAGAAAGTCTTCTGTGTGAACAGGGTTTGGATACAATAAAAGTAATACAAAACACCACTTTGGGCAAAAACAAGGGTGTTGGTCCCAAAACAACCTAGTTTTTAATTATGATCAAATGGGACATTTGCAAGACAATGCAGATAATTGGAAGGCCGACCTGACAGCCACAAAAAAAAGGATGCCTTGCAGCATAACAACATCAAGGAAATATATAAAAAAAAGGTTCAAATGAAGTGCTTTGTAACACTGAAAATACTAGGATTAAATATCACAGTTGGAGTGGGGTCAAACAGGAGGAAATCCTTGAATAATAGTACAAAGTAGTGAATTGGTAGCAAGGTGACATTAGGAAAGAACAGACAGGGCAAATACCTGATCCTTTATGGTGCTAGGAATAAAATATTGTTCTATCCCCCAAGGTAAGAAAAGAACATGACCTGAAGAAAAGACCTCTTTTGACAAGAAGATCTACAAGCTTTAAGCATTGTCAGAATTAAAGAATCCACAATGTCTTTGTCTCTCAGAACCTGGTTCATCCATCAAAGCCATCAAAGTCAAAGACTAAAAAGCATGGTGGAAGATTGGTCCTTTAGAGAAAAGATCTGACCGATCTGGTAGAAACCAAGGAGTGTCAGCTAACAGATGAACAAGGTTGGTCTACCACTTTCTTCAAGGCCAATCTGGAGCTAAGAAAATTACTGGACTGCCCTCTGTTTGGATAGTTGATAGATAGACGAAGGCGTCTCCTGCACTGAAAGCCGATTGAGGAATTGGCTTGGGTGAGGACACTGTTGAATCCCTGGACAGGTAAGTGTTCTTATATTAACAATCAGCAGCCACAGTATTTGTAGCTGCTCACTTTTAATTTTTGGGGTTCAGGCTGTAGCTCCACTTTAACACCATTGCTAGTTAATAGAAGTGCTTTGAATGTTAATACCATCAATCAAAAAGCTTATATGCAGCTCCCTGTCAGGTTTGAAGTTGCTGAACCTGATGCAGTTTAATTAACCTCTCCAGTAGTAGGAAGATGCTGGCTTTAAAGGAGAAGTAGGGGCAAACCTTTTTGATCCTACTTTTTTGGTCCTGCTTCCCTTAGTTCTGCACTCTTGGGACCTGTATTTAGCCAGCAGTGGGCTAAAGTCCGCTGTCGGATGACATCTTTCAGCCATACTAGACTCTGGAGGGATCCTGACATTAACTTCGGAATCCACTCAGATGCCTGACTGGCAGCTGCCTCAGCCTCTCAACGTGCCACTGGGGGTTTGAGCCAACTGCTCCTGCCCCCTCCATAGCCCAGCACTCCACTGAGTGTTGGAAGGGCAAAGCAGAGAGCTGGTGACTGATAGTCAGTGGTTTTTGATTGCTCAGTCTCAATCTTAAGAGTCGGCAGGGGGACATATGCAGCATCAATTTACAGTAGCATCCACCTAGTTGAGTATGATTTTTTTTTTTTATGAATACCGCACTTCTTTTTTAAAGGTTTTCAGGAGAAGGCCCAAGTATTCCAAATGATGTGAATCAGAGATGACTTCTTAGAATTCCAGGATCCATCTGAAGTTATCCAAGCTCAAGAGGTCAGACATATCTGCTCTTGTAGCAACAAAAGCAATGCTGACCAAAAGCATCCTAGAAAAAGAAGATCAAGAACTGGAACAAGGATCTTTGTACATACCCTCTGAACAGCAAAGCAAAGAGAAATCTGAAGATCTGCAAAGATGGGAATGTGAAAATATGCATCCATGATGGATGCCAAGAAATATCTGCGATGAAGAGACAATACCTAAATGAATGATTGTTCTAAAAATTACCAAAAGCACAAAAAGGAAAAGTGCTTTCTATGGGTTTTTGAACCACAAACAAGTTTGGTTGGAGTCGGAACGTAATCACCTAGTTCAACAATCTCTGAAAAACTGAAGAAATACTTCCCACACCCATGTGGCTTCCCCAAGTCTCCAGGAAAGCCACCAGCCCCCCGCCCCACCTACAAACACATCACTAATGGAGCTGTTGGAGGTATAGCTACAGGTGCAGACAGATTTAAACACAAGTTTTGATCACCTGGGTTCAGATCCTTAACATAGAGTTCTTACCCCCATCACCATTTCAATAGTTTAATTCAGCAGGAGCTGAAAGCCAGATTGTCCTGTAGATCAAGATAGAACAAAAACTGGTTGATGTTAGCCTGTTATTACTTTGTACAGGTTGAGCAGTTGCAACTTGGTGTATTCACCTGTGAATCCAGCCACAGGCATGAGCTGTATATGCACTGCAGATGTGAGTAAAATCCTGCGTGAAGGAGACTTTAGTGTAATTGGCAACGTGTGAGGTGGAGAGGATTGCAGTTTCTAGGGGGCTGCCCATCAGTTTCTTTGTGTTTCATGTCCATTTCTCCTGTAGGCAGCAGTATAACAATATATTGTTTACCAACAAGTTGTGTTCCTCAACAGATGATATAGAATAATTTTTAATGGGCTGCCTAAGGCACTGCAACAAATCACAATGCTCGAAAATATGTGCATTGCAGCAAAATGTGGTTTGCTTTGAAAGCATCCTTACACCTTGTTTACAAAGGCCTTGAAAATAGGTGTTTGGATCTTGTTTTTAACCTCTTCCTGACCGCCTGTAAATTCACAATTGTTAAAACAGGAGGTATACACATGGCAGCGTCAGCGTTTCTTTGCAGTGAGGCAAAGATAATGCTGCCTGCAGAGTGTGGCAGGTACTGATGCCTTTCAACCACCTGCATTCACTTCTACTGAAATTGCCATTTGCAACAAAATTAAAAAAAAATCTCAAAGGGCGTTTGAGGAACATTGCTTGACATGACTTAACATTCTGTGCGATGCATCTGAAATGCGTATTAATGCCATAGGCATGTTAATACATGTTAAAGGCTGCTTTAAAATTCAATGCCTTTGGAAACTTAGCCTAGATAAACTTTTTACCCCTCCCTAAGTAATATGTGCAATTAAAATAATGGAAGCTGTATAATACCATGGATGTGGATAAATCAAAAGAATTAGGTTGTTGCAAGGGAAAATTACAAAAAATAAGATTTTAACTTGCATATGATTGAACACAGCTTTATCTTACTTGATAAGACCCTGTTAACATTACTTTTGCAACGTGAACATTATAGAACAGTCCTCTACTCCTTTAGTAAGTCAGCCCCAATTTATGTGGGCTTGTTGTGACAGGCAACACTTTTAAGTCAACACTACAAGAAAAGTAGTCATTAGTGTGGATATGGGGTCTAGTAATTACATATATTTTGTGCACATAAAGTACCCACCATATTTGTCCTACTGCCCTTAAAGCCCAACTGGAGTCACAGAAATAGATATGAAGTCAGACAGACTTTGTATTGACAACCTCCATTTTTCTAGACCTACATATACTGTCACGTTACAGTTGTTGTACAATTTCTAAAGATGATTTTAGGCACAACAGTAAAACTGGGCATGCAATTCAGTAGGTTCAGCAGGGACCAGCCATATTTCGATCTGATTGTGGTCCTCTTTGTTCAACAGAAGTTAATCTCTTTAGAACAATGTATGTCAAAAAGACACACTGAAAAGCTTTTGTAGATCAGCGACTGCACCCACTGGTCATTGTATTCTGACAGCAGTATGAGCCATGTCAGAATACAATGTCCCTGCGGGGGGCGGATGGGTTGGATGGAATTCGTCCACTTGGATGGAGGGAACTGTTTTTTTGTTTGTTCGTTTGTAATGTAATAGATCTGGGCAGACACAACTTCTACCCTTCTTTGCAACACAAATATGTGGGGTGGCACTTGTAATGTAAGATGTGGTGGTTACTCAGTTAAGCCAGCACAAAGCAATGGAGTTTGAGGAATGGAAACATAATTTTCATTTAAAAAGAAATAATTTTTTTTTACGGGTTAAAATAACTCTATTAAAACAGTTTAATACTGTAAAATACTTATTGTATTTTTTTAATCTATTCCATTGGTCCTATTACTTTTAAACTATTTTATTAAAACGTTTATTGAAATTATTCCATTTATTTAAAATATATTATAAATGACTGAACTTACTGTCCTACTGTCTATTGTCACTTGTGTCGTTTTGGCTAAAATGTTTTACTTCAGAAAGAAACCTTACTACAGTGCCTTTAAAAATAATTCACCCCCTCGAAAGTGTTCCTGTCAAAGTGAATACAAATCTCTACAAATCTCTAAAAACAATTAAAATGAAAAAAAAAAGATAAAATGATTGACTGTTTAAGTGAACATCCCCTTTTCCTTAGGCTGGCCATAGATATTTTTTTTTTTTAAATCAGCCTCCTAAACACAAACAAGGTGGATGGAGCAATCCCCACCGGACATTGAATTCTGACAACGGGACCCAGTGCTGTCAGTACATAGTGAACAATGGATGCAGCAGTTGATCAACAAATGCTTTCCAACTTGTCTCTTCAACAAAAGTAGATCAGGATGGCCACATATGGCCAGCTTTAGCATTTAGTAGATGCACTTTTGGCAGCATTTGCATCCTTAAGTCTGTGTGGATACGTATCTATCATCTTTGTAGGTTTTCCCCACTTCAGTTTGCAAAACTGGTCTAGTGCATATTATTGAACAGCCTTTTTTCAAATCCAGCCACAGTGGATTCTCCATTGGATTGTGATCTGTATCCTGACTTGGCCATTAACTTTGTTGTCCTGCTGAAAGACAAATCTTTTGCCAAGTTTCGGGTGTCTTGTAAGCTGTATTAGGTTATCATCCAGGATTACCTTGCATATTTATTCTACCCTCACAAGCCTTCCTTGGCCTGCCACAGAAAAACATCCCCAGAGGTGACAGGATGATGCTGTCACCACCAAAATTATGCATTTATGATCAAGCGAAGTGTATAGCTTATGCTAAAGTGTTTGCTCTAATAGCCACAAAGTGCATTCTTGGTTTTATCGCACAATGGAACCTTTTTCTAGCTATATCCAGGGTCTCCCAGGTGCCTTCTGGGAAATTGTAGGTTAGACATTATGTACTATAAGGGTACATTACAAGGGTATTTTTACTATCACTGGAAACTCGTTCACATTTTTCTGATTGTATGACTTTGGAAAAAAATTGGTTACATCAATGATGTACGTGTCATATTAAGTGGGATGTATGCTTATGCAGTCTGTTATTTTTTTTATTATAATTATCCTAAATCATTTTACAGAGATCATTTTTCAGTTTGATAATAAATAGTATATCTTTGTTGATCGATGTAAAAAAAACAAAATTCCTTTCACTGTGTTTCAATGTTCTAAGATAATAAACATAAAAACTTCTAACGGGGTAAATACTTTTTATAGGCACAGTGTATAGAAAAATATGACATTCTTTAATACGTGGTTTAGGCTCCATGGTTATACCTGAGCCCATGCTCAGAGAACACCTTGAGATCATCATCATTTACTGCTCACCTACCTGTACTGGATATCCCTGGCCTCTTTGCATGGGACAAAGTGCTGTTTGGGAAGAGGGTATGAGCAGGGAGGGGGCAGAGAGAGGGAGTCGTTCTGAATGGAAAAAAAATCAAACAAATGACAAAAAATAAAAAACAAAATACAAATACAAATAAAACAAAACAAAATATGAACATATAAAATACCAGTCAGACAAGGTAACAAAAAGGTGACTGAGCTTTGGCTACTGAGCAGATGAAAGAAGAATTACATAACAGTACATGTGCTATTGTTAGTCCCAGTTTTACCTGGTGGATGAAGCTGTTTTACACATACCTCTTGCAGCTGCATCTGCACCTTGTTAAATGCTCTGAGCCAATTAGACTTGGCCCTCGACATTCCTGTGCTCTCATCTCTGTAATTTGTGAAGACATAATAAATGTAATAATACTGGATAGGAAACTTGACATAACAAGTTGCAATTTAATTGGGGCAATAGTAATGTTTTAAGATACGACTTCAGATATAATATTCCTATATACACTAATCAGCCATAACTTTATGGCCACCTACCTAATATTGAGAAGGTCCTCATTTTGCCATCAAACAACCCTGACCTGTTGAGGCACTGACGTCACTAGACCTCTGAAGGTATTGCTGTGGTAGCTGGCACCAAACCATCAGTAGCAGATCCTTTAAATGCTGTAATTTCCGAGGTTGGGTCTCCATGGAGGAAAGAAAGAAGATCTATGGAGAGCCGGCATCCAAAATTCTTTCCTTGTGTTGGATACAGTTGCGAGCTAGGCTGGCACCCTTTATATGCTGGATTGAGAGTCCTGTGGTTTAGGCCAACCTGAGCAGCATGAGTTTGTTCACCTTGGACTCATTGTTGTGTTCCTCAAACCATTCTTGAACTGTTTTTGCAGTGTGGCAGGGTGCATTATGTTGAAAAAAGTCACTGTCATTAAAGAATGCCATTCCCATGAAGGGGTGTACTTTGCCAGCAACATTGTTTAGGTAGGTGGTACATGTCAAAGTAACATCTACACAAATGACAGAACCCAAGGTTTCCCAGCAGAACATTTCGTAGTCATCAGGCTGCTTTCATTGGTTTGCCTTCTTCCCATACTACATCTGGTGCAATCTTTTCCCCAGGTAAGCGATGAACAGGCACCCGGCCATTCACATGATGTAAAAGAAAATGTGGTTAATCAGACCTGGCCACCTTCTTCCATTGCTCCGTGGTCCAGTTCTGATGTTCACATGTCCATTGTAGGCCTCTTTGGCTGTGGACACAGGTCAGCATGGGCACCCTGGCCAATCTGCAGCTATGCAGTCCTGTACACAATAAACTGCATTGCCCATTGTTTCTGCTTTGAACACATCAATTTCAGGGACAGTATGTTTATTTGTTGCCCAAAATTTCCCACCGAATTTCAGATGCCATTGTAACAAGATAATCAGTGTTATTCACTTAACCTATTAGTGGCCATAAAGTTATAGTTGATCAGTGTACATACTATGTTGCTTTAAAGAACTTTCACATTTTAGTGCTTGGTAGACATCAGTTAAAGACAACACTGTACAAGTTCCATACTGTCCACCTTACCTTCTCCATTTATATTTTTAATTTGCATGTGGTTGCCCTGGCCGAGCAGTAAAGCAATATGCTAGTTAAAAGCTGTAATACACTAAAAACCAAAAATATAATATATTGTAGTTTACCAATCCTTAAATGTGGTGACCACATTAGTTTTCTTTTTATTGGCTTTTTCACATTATTTTCACCTGGTGATCCTTCCAGTAACACTATTCCTGTCTTATGGTGTCTGCACTCTGGATGGAGAAACAAGCAGACACAGCTGCACAGCAGCATTTAAATCTGTAGAGAGGGAAGTGTTAGATGCACTCTAGCTAACACTTTTTAAGCAGTTAGAGGAAACGTTTTTTACTTTTTCGGATGAAGGTTTCACATGAATGAGCAAAATCTGACCATTGTAATCCTTGTCAGTGTTAAATGGTTTGTGACAATCCTCTAACTGAAACTTTTACTGGACAGCTTGGTCTGCAAAAAGAGCAATAACTGAACCCTGCGGAGGGAGGTTATTGAATCTACAACTGACTCAATGGCTGGATAACCAGGTCAAAATAAAGACAAAACTGTAAAATAATCAACCACCACACCTAAGAATTACTAAGCTACAATATAATACATTTTTGTTTAATAACGCTTTAAAGAGAAAAGCACGTAACCATTTATGTAAGAAATATTGTGCTGCAAGCTAACATTTTTAAATTTTCTTGTAAAAGGAATATATCACAAGGCAAAAGTGCATATCTGTCTCAGAAGTCTCAGATAGGAATCAGGCTTTGTCTGACTAAAATGTCAGTAGTTTTAGAGTTGTAAAGATGAGGCTATTTAAATTCAGTTTAAATGATGTAGCTGCTTCAAAATTAGAATTAAGTTTGTGAATCAGAGAACTGCTTCCATCAGAGGCTTCAGAGACAGGCATTTACTTTTGTAGTAGATTCCCTTAAAGCCTTCACACTTTAGCCCACAGTTTTTTGTTTAGTGGAGATATTTAGAAAAGAAATGTCAGCACAGGTACATGCTCTGGGCTGTCAACCTTATGCATCCTTTATCACTTGGTGCGTCACCATCTCAGAATAAGCCCATGCATATCAGGTGATGGGACTTCTGATAAGCATAGGCTTCTTTCTGGTTGATGAAGTAATGCAGAAAAAATTATGACAGGCCAAAACCTACAGGCTTCTTAAAAATAAGCAAATTAGATCAGTTACCAACAACCCTCTGTAGTAAGCATTTCTTTTCTATGTAGTTAAATAGTCTAGATTCCATTAGTACAAGCAATAAAACATAATTACAATTATTTTTCTACTCAAAAAATACATTCATTTTTTACTCTTATTATTCTTAGTGTGCAGAACTCATCCTAAACTGTATTTTTCCTTCTCACCTGTCCATCAAAGATTCCTGAACTGCTGGTACTGCCTCACTCTCTGGTGTAGCTTCTGGAGTCGGCTCTTTTTGAACTGGAATTTCTGGGGGTGTTTTCTCCTTACTCTCTCCAGATAAGTATAATGTGTCCTCTAGCTCATGTTTTAATTTTTCACCTTCTTCTTCTGGAAGATCATCATCATAAAGCTCTCTGTCAGAAAGCTGACCCCTGCTGTCAGGGTAACCACCTTCATCATCATCTTCTTCACTGTACCCTTCAGGGCCCTCGTCTCCTTCCCAGTTTGGAGAATCCTTTTGGTAGCTGACAGAACTATGACAGGAGTGATACGAGTCTCTGTCCCGTTCTTCTTCTATTTCAGAACCCTGTAGACTGTCATTTTCAGGGTCAAAATCATCACTTAGTTGTGTAGAATCTCGACTAAGTTCCCCAGAGGAGGCATATCGACTGCTTCCAGTAGGACTAGAGAGATCAAAACATGGGGCAGAAAAATGAAAGCAGAAGAATAAAATAATTAAAGTATATCCCCCATCTGTCATTGTTACACTCAGTACATACTAAACCAGCAGAATGCATAGATACATTTTTCTGGTATTTAGTCAATTCAACATTTCTACAGAATTCCATGATAAAAAGTTAAAATATATCAGGGATTATTATCAGTGTTCTGTAATTGTTCTGTAAGAAATATTGTGCTGCAAGCTAACATTTTCACATTTTCTTGTAAAAGGAATATGTCACAAGGCTAAAGTATATACCTGTCTCAGAAGTCTCAAATAACTAAAAATAAATTTCCACCTGTGCTGGTTAAAATTTTTACTGGAATTGATGACATTCTTTCATCATCAAAGGGAAAATATACATCTTCCACAATACCCTTTGAATAATTCACCAGCAAAAATACTCTGTCCCATATTAAAAGCACTGTTAACTACAATTGAATATAAAAACGTAGAAGAGTGGCGTCAGTAAAAGACCAAGCAGTCCAGCTAGCTAGCTCTTTTTTCTGGAAGAGAGGGGGGGGGGTTTAGCATTGTTCTTAATTTTTTATTTATATCTGAGTATATATATCTACATCTATCCTGAGCATGTTTAAATTCACTTACTGTTAAATTACTAATTAACTCTGCTGGACGTCTTTTCCATGCATGTATATAATAATAAAAGGTTTCTCTTCTTTCCTCAAAGCTGTACATTTTAAGTTCCCCTGTCTCTCTTAATATATTTTATCCCACCCATTTTTATTGCCCGCCATACGAGCAGACCTTGTATCCCCCAACTATTATAAGAAAGCACAAATATCCTTTTTTCTTTCAGGATTCATTGGAGCACACAGTAAACCACCCAGCTGTCCAAAAAAAAAAAACCGTTCCAAGCAAGTGGTGCGGGAACAAAAAATACATTCACATCTTACAGGCAACTTCCATCAGTAAAAAGTCCTACAGATCACACAATGTGCAAGACCTTCCAGCCAAAGGAGGTCTTGGCTGAGGATTCAATGTCCACAAAGTGGATGAGTGTGAACTGAGGATCATGTGGCATCTCTGAATAATGGGGCCATGATGCACATGCACAGAATAAAGTGGAGACAGCTAGACTTATTAGAAGAAATATCACTTGACCAGAGAGAAGGTTTGTCTTATCCCTGGAGGTGGGGAATTCGTTTAGATTTATTACATTCTTTAGAATTTTACATACATCTTAGATGATGACAGGGTTTATCTGCATGGCTACACATAGGCCTCAAGATAATATATACTGAGAACAAAACATGTGTTATATATTGTTATTGTTAATGTAGCTTTGACATTTGTTATGAATCTACATGCTTTCATGGTTCCATAGCACTGCATCTGTACATGCTTAAGCCTATTTTTGTGCTGTATTGTGCATGTGTGTGCTTCTGACATGGGGCACAAACATGTTCACACAGTCCACTGTGCATGTGCAAAACTAATAGGAAAATGAGCAGTATTTTCTGTTCATTCTCACTTGCAGCATGAGCACACCTTTAGTAATTCAGACTCTATGGGGTTGGGGTTAATTTACTAAAGGCAAATAGGTTGTCCACTTTGCGAGGGACATTTCCTTTAGCTTGGTGAATGAGGTGACGCTCTGCTGGCTTCCATCATTAAATCATGTGCAAGCAAGAATATTGTTTTCTCTTTCACATGATTGGGTACTCTTTCCAAAGTGTATTCACACCACATCAAGTTAAGAGAAAATTCCCTTGCAAAGTGATATTTGCGTTTCGTAACTCAACCCCATATGTGCATTCATGTGTTCATCCATGTGTGCAAGTCAAAGCTTACTGAACTAACCTAAACTGAAGGAATTTAGACCAGAAGTTGACTCCACGGACCGTACATCACGGTCAAGGTTTCAACAAATTTGGTCATTATGCAAACGATTTTAGAGCCTCAAACAAAGGAACAGAGCACCTGCTAAAGAAGACCAGGAAGCTCCCCAGCCATGGGTGGGCTTGATCAGTGGTCTACTCATGGAAAAGAGGTCTATTTTTTCAGTTAGCGGTAACATGACTAAACTGTTATCTCTTAGAGAAGTGAAAAACCTTTGTTCTTTGTATAATAAACAGAAAATATTTTGGACACAGATCGAGCGTGTGTGACTTCTCCCTCTGTGCACAGTTTTCTGGGCCTACTTTTTGGATATATTTTTAAGCTGGTATACAAAAGATAACTTTAGCTTTAAAAGCATATATAAAGCAAAATTTGCTTTATCAAGTGCATTGTTCTGAAGGTAAGCCCATTGTGATGGTTATACAGGGCAATATTAACTAAGTGCATATTTGTGTGGGACATATGTGTATGCACATGCATATATGATAGTGCATGTGCATACTTGCAAGAATAGTGCACTGGGTTACTGTTCTTATTTTATTTATAGAGGTTTTACAAGGAAGTGCTGCATCATCAGAACTCTGTTTCATTTTAGATTTTCAGCATTGACAAAACTAGTGATATCACTGCAGCATAAAAAAATTAACCATCAAGAAAACAGATAGGAAAATGCAAAAACAGAAAGTTATACCATTTCAAAAAATATGACTAGCATAACTCCTTGAAATAAAGAAATTAAAAAAAAATTTTTATTGCCCAATTCTTCCGTATAGATTACGACTCTAAGTTTTGAAAATTTCCACTGGTAGAATACCAGTGAATTACAGGAACTGGATCATTACAATTAGTAAATGGGCTAGTTCAGTTCCACTCAATAACCCAGCATGTAACAAATTTCAGTGTCGTGCTGTATTTTATAGCTAGGGCAACATGTTGACAACTAACATATCACAATTTTTCAAACATACAAAATGATCTTGGAGTGGGTTATAGAGGATCCAGCTGTGTTCATTATGTAATATGTAGTATGTAAGATATATGTAAAAGATAATTAAAATCTATGTAAGGTTTTATCAGCATAGCTCTGCATTAGTTCTCTTTTTGTTTTATAAATTTGCAAAGTATCACAAACAATTGAACAGTGGAGCCCATATACCATAGCATGTAGATTTTTCAGTAAATTGAAAAAAAAAAATAGATCATACACTGACCCCAACTTGCAACAGTAAAACCTTAAGCGCGCATGCAGACAGATATACAAATACACACCCCATGACAGGCCAAGAATTACTTAACAATATTCTGAAAATTTAATATAGAAACAGTAAGTTCACTGAACCTCATGTAGTGTAATGCTAGGATTGTGAGATATATTACCTAGTTCTGTATTATCATACACAGAATTGTGTTTTTTTGTAATTTTGCCAAGCATTTTATAAAAAGTATTAGCAGTACGAGTTTTGAGTCTGCATAAACTGCAGTACTTGATATTGTAAGAAAAACATTTATATTATCTTAATAGACTGAACCTGTTCCTTTTCACACAACAACACTAACAAGATCAACCCTGTATCAGAATGGATGAGCCAAATTCCAGGTTTCCCTACAGCCTCAATGAAAGTGCAATCTGATTTTGGAGTCCTCAGTTTTGGAGGGGAAGAGGAGGGCAGAGGAGGACACATCTCAGTCTTTCACCCATGTTTCAGTTTAACTGATTAAAAATGTTACTTTGTTGAAAATATCCCACTTACTAGGGACGATTTCATGTAGTCATGTGACAGTATGCTTTAGGAAGAATGACTAAATTTGTCCCTCCATTACACAAATGCACATGTATGATGAACACAGACAACTCATTAGGTAACAAAAGTCAGAGATAGAAAATTAAGGTTTCTTTTAAATCTTTATATAAGTCGTCACGGACAACAGTCCTTTACAGTATACAAGTATGTCACAAGTAAATGACAAAATATAGGAAGATGTGTGCTAAATAATACAGTTTTTTCCTGGGAAAATATAACTTATTATAACTGGGCAATTTTTACTCTGTTCATAAACTTGATGATGTTTTGCTTTGGAAAATCTGAGTTTTGTTTTTTTTTTTTAAATGTGTATTTTTTTTAATTGTAAGCATTCTCTGTATGATAAATTCATGATATTTCTAATGAGATTAGTTTACCAACACAGAAATTAAACATTTGTAAAATATATATATATATATATATACATATATATATATATATATATATATACATAAAAAAAAATCCAATCTGCAGTACCTTGCATATTTATTAAGAGAGTAAAACACTCAGTAAAAAAGCATCAAAATAACAACTTTCCAGATCTGTTAATCAGGTATGACAAACAAGTCTCTTAATAAATATACAAGGTGCTGCAAGTTTGATTTTTTTCGTTTTCTCTATATATTGGTGTTTGGGTGATCTCCAATGTCCGCTCTGCACTTTAAGCAGCTATCTGCAAAATTAATGTTAGGGTTACTACAGAGCAAAGGTGTTCCTTTTTGCATATCTGCTGAGCTTAAAGATTAAATTTAACTAATAACGAAAATTCTCTACCCTATAGGAACCTGTAATGAAGTATTCTCCCATGTTATACAGACAGAAATCTTCTATGGAGGGGTGCCCAGTCCTCTTCCTGCTGCTGAACTTCCAGCACTGAGGGAGTTAAGAGATCTGAGTCTTCTGTGAAGCTGCAGTGAACAAGTTCCTGATGGGAACCTGCTTCCTCCTCCCTCCTTCTCTAAAGTGGTTTCATATTAATAGACTTTTGGGAATCCTCTAGTTACGATGCTTCCTCTGTCTTTAGGTATGATATAATGGGAGTTTTTCCTCCCCATGTATTCCTCTATTATCTGTGAAGACTGTACACCCATGTTTTATATATGAGTTTTCTGTATGCTGCTAAAAAAAAAAATCCAATAAACTCTATGTGAAATAAAGTTGTTTTATAGTGTACACTGTAACATGATCTGTGAATGGGGTCTGAGTCCGAGAACTCACAGGATTCTCTCTCCTGTTTATGGATCATATTACGTGCAGTATAATCAATGAAAAAAAAATTCTCAATGGAGGAGGACAGATG